CCCCCCCCCCCCCCCCCCCCCCCCCCCCCCCCCCCCCCCCCCCCCCCCCCCCCCCCCCCCCCCCCCCCCCCCCCCGTTTCGAGTGCTAGAAAGCCAGCGACGGTGCTGCTTTCTCAACAATTTATGGACTCGATACCATGAGAACAATATTGCGACGAGGACATGGAGACACTCGAATGATCGCTCGCCTGTTGAATCGTTGGAAATTGCTGCCTCCGAGTTGAAGATTCCGAGGCAAACACGTGACAGGGAAGCAGGCGAGGCGCTGCTGCAGGTCAGTCTCATACAATACAGGAGAGCAGTGGCTGAGGCATCGTCTGCTTCGCCCACAGCCATTGTGCCAAGCTCAATCATGAGCCTGGCCTGCCTTTTGAATAACCATAGTCAAAATGAACGTAAGACATCCAAGCTCAATGGAATTCCACGTGAAGAGCATCCAGTCGCACTGCAACCAAAATAGCACAGACCCTGATTCCCTTGATGACAATGTGATAGTGGAGCCTCGCGCCGCGGGGCTGCAGCGATGATTGGCCCCCTTTCTTCAGCTTTAGGACAGCATCAGCATTCCCACGAGCTCGCGGGCCACTGGCAGGCTAGAAGATGGGCCAGCTCGCGTACACCACCTCACCTCAACCTTTCCAACTCCTCGACTTGACGCAGGAGGAGATCTCGCTGCTCCTCAGTCATTCCCCCCTAGAGTGATCAGATGAGGCTCTTGTAATTGATCATCTTAAATTCTTCTTCGGCACGCTCTTTTACTGCCCGGTTTCCTTGTGTCGATTCATCCCTTTAGCTTCTCCACCAACTCTTCTTCGACACGACACGACACAACACCGCTGATCGACGCAGCTATCCAGCGTATTGGAAACATCGAAGCATCTCAATATGGCCAAAGCCAACTCGGCCCGGGGTCGCAGCCCGCTGCCCCCAGCGGAGAAACAAGTGGCTTCCTCGCCTACCCTCGCCGTTCCGGAAACTGGCAAAGCCCGCTCAAAGTCGAGGTCCAAGTCGCGTTCCAAGACCAAGGCGAAGAGCAAGGCCAAGGAAACATCGTACAGGTCAGATGGCGTTGAGGACCATGATGTGTTCCTCCTGCCCTTGTCCGACTACTGGGTGGTACTCGCCTTGACCCTCGTCGCCCTCGCTGTCCGTGTCTACAAGATCTACCAGCCTTCGAGCGTCGTCTTTGACGAAGTCCAGTCAGTCTGCGCAATCCCTGCGTCCGGAACGAGATGCTGACCAGTGTTAGCTTTGGTGGCTTTGCGACAAAGTACATCAAGGGCAAGTTCTTCATGGATGTCCACCCCCCTCTCGCCAAGATGCTCATCGCCCTGACCGGTTGGCTGGCTGGTTTTGATGGTAGCTTTGACTTCAAGGAGATTGGAAAGGACTACATTGAGCCTAACGTGCCGTACGTGGCTATGCGCATGTTCCCAGCCATCTGCGGTGTCGCTCTCGCGCCTTGCATGTACCTGACCCTCAAGACCCTGGGATGCCGCTCGATGACCGCCCTTCTGGGTACCGGCCTGATCATCTTTGGTCAGTAATAATCACCCCAGATGTTCGGGGGAAATAGCTAACATCATTCAGAGAACGGACTGCTCACGCAAGCGCGCCTGATTCTCCTCGACTCGCCCCTCGTTGCCGCGACCGCCTACACCGCCCTGTCCTTCAACGCCTTTACCAACCAACACGAGCAAGGCCCTTCCAAGGCCTTTGGTATCAGCTGGTGGTTCTGGCTTCTCAACACTGGCCTTGGCCTGGGCATCACCGTCAGCATCAAATGGGTCGGCCTCTTCACGATTGCCTGGGTTGGTGTCTTGACCATGGTGCAGCTCTGGGTTCTGCTCGGCGACAGCAAGAACGTTCCCATTCGCCTTTGGTGCAAGCACTTCATGGCCCGTGTCTTTGCGCTGATTGTCGTCCCCGTGACTTTCTACCTTGCCATGTTCGCCATCCACTTCACCGCTCTGGTCAACCCCGGTGAGGGCGACGGCTTCATGAGCTCCGAGTTCCAGGCCACCCTCAACACCAAGAGGATGAAGGACGTACCTGCTGACGTCGTCATGGGCAGCAAGGTCAGCATCCGCCACGTCAATACTCAGGGTGGCTACTTGCACTCTCACCCTTTGATGTACCCCACAGGTAGCAAGCAGCAGCAGATCACTCTGTACCCCCACAAGGACGAGAACAATCTCTGGCTGCTTGAGAACCAGACGCAGCCTCTCGGAATGGACGGCGAGCCCATCAATGGCACCAACGCTTGGGACCTTTTGCCGGAACCCGAATATATCAAGAACGGCGCTGTTTTGCGTCTGTACCACACCAACACCCACCGTCGCCTCCACTCTCACGACGTGCGTCCCCCCGTCAGTGAGGCCGAGTGGCAAAACGAAGTGTCCGCGTACGGTTACGAAGGGTTCGATGGTGATGCGAACGACTACTTCCGTGTCGAAATTGTCGGAAAGCAGACCAAAGGTGCTGTTGCCAAGGAACGCCTCCGCACCATCGAAACCAAATTTAGGCTCGTCCACGTCATGACCGGCTGCGTCCTGTTCTCTCACAAGGTCAAGCTCCCTTCCTGGGCTTCGGAGCAGCAGGAGGTCACTTGCGCTCGCGGTGGATCCTTGCCCAACAGTCTGTGGTACATTGAGAGCAACCAGAGTCCTCACCTCGGCCCCGACGCGGAAAAGGCAAACTACCGCAAGCCCGGTTTTTTTGGTAAGTTCGCTGAGTTGCACGCCGTCATGTGGAGGACCAACGCTGGTCTGACCGACTCTCACACATGGGACTCCCGCCCTGAATCCTGGCCTATTCTCCGTCGCGGTATCAACTTCTGGGGCCGCAGCCACACTCAGGTCTACCTCATCGGCAACCCCATTGTCTGGTGGTCGTCGACGATTGCCATTGTCACCTGGGTCGTGTTCAAAGCCATTGCTGTTCTCCGCTGGCAGCGCAGCTACGGCGACTACAACAACACCACCTTCAAGCGCTTCGATTACGAGGTTGGCATGTCTGTGCTTGGCTGGGCCCTGCACTACTTCCCATTCTTCCTGATGAAGCGCCAACTCTTTCTGCACCACTACTTCCCGGCACTGTACTTTGGTGTCATTGCTCTATGCCAGGTCTTTGACTATGCCACCGCCAGGATCCCCAGCGCGGGCCGCAAGGATAGCAGCATCATCAACAAGGTCACTGCCATTCTTTTCCTCATCGTGACTGCCGGTGTCTTCATGCTCTTCGCTCCTCTGGCATATGGTAGCCCGTGGACCAAAGCCGAGTGCAACCGCGTCAAGCTGTTCCCCACATGGGACTTTGACTGCAAGACTTTCCACGATTCAGTGAGTGACTGACTTGACTTAGACTGGCGGCTCATGCTAACGTTTTGCAGTACGACAAGTACACCATGCTCACTGTCCAAGCCGGCACTGCCGCCACGCCTTCCCCCGAGGCTGTCAAGGCTGACGCTGCCGCGTCTAAGGTGGAGGAGAAGGCTGCCGAGGCCGTTTCTGCCAAGCCCGAGGATGAAGGCGAAAACGAGCCCCGTGTCGTCGCCAAGGAGGAAACTATCGAATTCCGCGACCAGGATGGCAACTTGCTGAACGAGGAGCAAGTGAAGAGCCTTGAGGGCAAGGTCGAGTTCAAGACCAAGTACGAGACCAAGACTCGCGTGGTGGATGAGGACGGCAACGAAGTGTCCGTGGGCGAGGCCGCGGCCGGCGTCGCCCCTCCCCACCCGGACGTCGAAGGCTCCGACCCTGAGACTGTCAAGAACGAGGCCGCCGCGCCGGAAGAGGAGGTTCCCGTCCCGCCTCAGCCCCATGATGCGGCCGCAAGCAAGGATGGCGAGATGGAGGAGGCGCAAAAGCAGCCAAAGCCCGCTAGCGAGGGCAAGGAGGCCACTGTGCACGAGGAGCTGTAATTGGGTTTAGGATGGCCGTGTATCACCAGTATTAATCTCTATGTCATGATGGGATGAACATGTGGGGAGAGGAAGCTCGGGGGAGGTGTTGATAAAAAGCGAATATGAATGGTGCATTTGAAATTGGTTTATGAGACGTTTAAGGATTGAATACCCGCAAGACGACGCATTTGCGAGCAGTTTTTGTCACTTGTCGGCTTAGGATATCATGAGTAAATCAATCTCTGGGACCATCAATAATCCGGTATGGTGTAGTGGCTAACATTTGACGCTCTCATTGATCGAGGTACCGTCAAGCCCAGGGTTCGATTCCCTGTACCGGAGATAGGTCTTTACTTTTGACATTTCTGCCCCCGATCCTCTTTTCCCCTGGTCGTCTGCAATTAACTTGCGAAGTGATTGTTCTATTTTTGACTTGTGGTGTTGCTTTGATTGTCGACGCCTGATCTTTTGACGTTCACAATAAAGGGGTAAGTCGTTCACGGACAGACGCATGGACGCAGAAATGATTATACCAATCAGAAAACTATCCATCTATTGATTCAATCCTTACAGGTTGTACCGGGATGTATCGTCATAGTCTGTGTACTCCTTGCCGGCGTACTCAGCCTCACTCCCAGGCTGTCTCGCCAGTCCCCGAATGACAGCCGGCAGAAACGCCACCAAGCTAAAGAGGGACAGTGTGACTAAGAACCCGAGAACAGCGCGGAGGTACATCCTGGAGTTCTTGAACGCACTGCCAACCTCGGCCCAGGTGAATGTGTCCTCCATGGACAGAAGCAGGTTCAGCACGAGGAGTAGACCTCACACCTGGTGCTTCTCCCAACCAGTCATGCAACGCATGGTCATTCTCCAAATCGCCGTCGAGCATGGCTATTTCCAGGTCCCATTTTCTAAAGCTAATGTGTCTCTAGTGAGCGTCTTCGGTTCTACATCGTGAGTTGGCAACACTAACGTAGACTTGCATCGTCCCTCCGCGCTCTATCTTTCCGATCCGTCTGGTCCAAGGACCTACACTACTACAACTACCACGCTGTCCACCACCTCACCAATCAAGCAAACCTCCATGTCCTTTACCCTTCAGATACGTGCTCGCCTCTTTCTGCGTAGTCTCCCACAAGTCTCGCGCCTGAGCCTCATCATGGAGCAGCGGGTGGCCCGCATGCACGACCCCAATCGGCTCCATATAGTTTCCCATGAACCCCCTTTCCTCAACACGAATCTCCTTGGCCGTTGCAGCAAACAAGCTGGCATGAGACCCGGTGTCCTGTGGCATAAAGTTGCCCGATACCAGCGGCCACACCCACGGCTTGAAAACCTCATGGATCCGATCCGACGCCACGCCGCCGGGATGCAGCGAGAGAACGGCAATGGGCACGCGCTGGCTGCGCAGATTCCGCTGGAGCTGTTTCGCAAACATGGCATTGGCAAGCTTGGACACGGCGTAGTGCAGCATGTTGACGTCGAAGACCAGGGGCCGTAGCAACTTGTACTTCAACGGTGTGTAGGGCAGCGTTCCGTAGAGGAGCTCTGACTTGGTAAAGTCCAAGGCGTAGTTTGGCGGGAGAACGAGGTGCATGGCGTTGGAAGAAACAACGACAATGCGAACGTCAGCGTCTGGTGACGCGGCGGCCTTTTTGAGCAGGGGGAGGACCCTGTTGGTGAAGACAAAGTGGCCAATGTGGCTTTGACGTGTCAGCTGGTACGTTTGTTCAGATGGCCACGTTGGTTGTACTCACGAGCTTGCCATGGATTTCTCCCAGCCGGCTGAAGAGTGCTCCAGTGCCCTTGGTGGTCCGCCCGCATTGTTGACTACTGAGGTTAGCTGTTTGGACTTCCAACCTTACAGGAGTGGCTGCGAACCTAGGATGTCGACCTTGTCCTCCTTTGATCCGAGAAGTTCTGCCGCCCTTGCGGCGGATTCAATCTCTTCAAAGTCAACGAGTAGCCACGGGAGCTGCTCAGCGGACAGTTCCGGATTCAGCTTGAGCTGCTCCCCTTGCGTCTTCCTCGCTTTTGCCTCGTTGCGCGCCGTAAAATAGACTTTGGCGCCCTTGGCAGCCAGATGTTTCACCGTGTGGAATCCAATGCCCGAGCTACACCATGTTAGTCGATTCCCGTGCAGTATCTAGGTGCAAGGGGACACACGTGGCGCCGGTGACGACTGCCACTTTGCCCAAAAGGTCAGGCATGTCCTTGACGGGGTTCCATTGAGTTGCCATGTTCTGGAGGGTGTTTTTCAGTTATTTTGTCGTCAAGAGAGTGTTTGTTAATGTCATTTCCCAGTCGTGCGTGTGACCAGCAAGTCGAGAGTCTGCCAGTACTTGACAGACACGAGACATGCCCATATTTATACGCCAGGACAGTGTCCGATACTACTTGGAAATTGTTCCTCCGCGCACAAAATGAAAGCTCTATGAAAATATCTTGCTCACAGCATGGACTGCATGCGAAATCTCTTCACACACAGGCAAGGTTGAGCCTTGATAAAGGGGGGTAGATATGGCTGGTGACTTACACCATGTCGCTGGATCGATCCACTCATGTCTCGATTAGGATAATGCGATACTTGGCATTCGTCGACGGGAGTCCGGGACACATGCTCCGCAAGGCCCAGGCCCCCTCACCCACCCCCAAAGCGGCCAGCCCGCCCAGTCGCCCAAACTCCGCAGTGGCTCGAGTCACCGCAATGACATCCGCGGACCGCAGGGCTGATTAATCGCAGTGCCGCCGTCTCATTAATCCCTAGAAAGAGGCCTACAGCGTTCCCGATTTGAACAATGCTTTTCTTGGTCGAATCTGCCCGTGGATCACGGGTCTGTCCACGATGACGGTCTTCCAATTCGTCCACTCCTCCAGGCCTGCTGATGCAAAGAGGCACAGGAAACAGGTACGGGCGCACGCGGCGCGGAATCGGGTCGCAGTCGATCAGCGCGTTGCTGCGTACCAGGCGAGTCAAAACTCCAAGGTTTCGAGACTACTGGATCAGGATCATCAGCCGGATCGCGTCGTTGGCAGTCATGGTCTCGCCAGCTGCCTCAGCGCAGCAAACACCGACCCCTTTCAGAGCTTCAGCAGACCTGTAGCGCAGCATGAGTGGTTTCTTCTGCATTACTGTAGGGCCTTATATCCTTTCCCACTGCGAGGGATGCCAGAGATGTTCTGACAGCAGCATGACCAGTCATTTCCCACCTCGCGCAATATCGGACGTCTTGTTTCGCTGAGCAGTCTCATGATTGCGATGGCCCATACCGGCTCCAGCAGTTCATGGTCCCGTACTGGATGCGAAATGCAGCAAGCGATGCTGGTTTCCTCGCTTGCATCTTGCTCGCAGCCTGCCGCGGCTTGTCTCGCTGGGTTGGCGGGGGTGATTTTGGCGACCGATACGATGCCCTGTCGGCGCAGTACAGTATCAATGCGATCCGCAGCTTGAGGGAGGCACTCGCAAGCGCGCGCCAGACGGTGAGCGACAGCATGATACTCACCTGCATGGCGATCGGCCTCGACGCGGTATGTCTGGTCAACTCGCGACGCAAAAGAGGCCACATTCAGCTGATTATATGTATTATTCCAGCACCTGACAGGCGACAGCGCGTCCGTACTCGTACATGCTGAGGCTCTCAGCAGGATGGTTCGATTGCGCGGTGGCTTCGCTGCGATGAAGGCGGAGGGCACCCTGAAGAACATGTCCATGTGGAGTCTCAGCGGTCCCTCCACGGATCCTCTCACTTTCCATTACTTGCATTGCGTTGTGGGATTCATCAATTTGGACGAGGAAAGGCCAGGTCACGCCTAGTCAAATCAAGGGTCCGATTACATTTTATAACCCCTGTCGGGATCGACAGGGACGAGACACGCTATTTCAATAGACGTCATTACGCGTGTCCAGTCGCGTCAACAAACGCGTCGTCCGTCAACCTGAAGCACCCCGTACCAACCCTAGGATTCGAGCAGACCGTCCTGTCTCATTCACCATCACCAACATCAGACATCAGAGACCACCCAATTCCTTTTCATCATGCCCCCTAAGCGCAAAGCTCTGGACACGGCAGACGCCAATGCCACTGTTGTTCCGCAACCCAACGCAAAGAAGGCCAAGCCTGCAGCCCAAGGTGCAGCAGCTGCTGCGTCGACAGGGCTTGGACCCATCCACAAGCACGAGAAGCGCTGGTCCAAGGTGTCTGCCTCCAAGAACCTGGATCTGGACTACCAAAAGTCCATGCAGGACCCCAACCATGCCTACGAGTTCATGTGCATCTGCGACCCAACCGTAGATGATGACGAGTACGACGAGGAAGAAGAAGGAGAAGGAGAAGGAGAAGAAGGAGAAGGGAAAGCAGGAGACAAGCCCTCCTGTGACGGGGGCGAAAAGTGCCCATGCAACAAGACGGCCACCTCGCTCCCCTCTCACCCGTACACCGTCACCAGAGCAGGCCTCCGCAGGGCGGACATGGCGCGCAACATGGCGCACTTCCGCAACCCCGACATGTTCGCCATGTACACGTTCAACGACCACCACGCCTATGGGGTCATGGAGGTCGTGGAGAACATGCTGCTCGACTTTGACGAGGCGCGCAAGGCCAATGAGTGGCGTGAGATGTGGGCCCTGGTCGAGTCCATGGTCCTGTTTGTCCAATTCGGTGGGGGCAGCGACATGTGCATGGCCGACGACGTCGAGAGGGTCGAGGGGCTCGCCATGTCTATTGCGCGACTGATCCTGACCACCCTCTCCACGCTCGAGAGCCACGACCAGCTCAAGGAGGGCTCCGACATTAAAAACTTGGGCTGGATGCTGGCACTCACGCACGCCATGTCCGGCACCCTGCGCGAGATGAGCGTCATGGGCCCCACGGCGCCCACAAAGGCAAAGGCGTTCAAGTTTAACCCGGATAACTTGGATCTCTACGTGTGCGCCTTTGCGCACCGACACGGCATCACCATACCGGGTGTCAGTGAGGACGACATGGCGGAGGCCGCGGGCATGGCGATGCCAAAGGCCGGGGCCAAGGACCCATGGGGCTGGACCAGGGTCGGCGCATTAGTCGCCGGGGGCGACAGGTTCGACATTACCACGATGAGCAGCGCGGAACGCAAGAAAGCCGCCTTTGATAAGAAGGATCCCATTCCCGCAAAGGTCATGGGGAGCATTAAGAAGGGCGAGCCGGTGTGTCTGGGGTGAGACCAATGTAGTTGGATATCACGCCAGGCTGGCCCGGATTTTGTATGTACAATGTGATTTTGGATTTAGATGCAGGTATGCAGCAAGCAGGAAGAAGGGAGGCGGCAATAGCCGACGGAACGAGGCGTCTACCATGTACAAACCAAGTTATGGATTAATCTAGGTTCTCACGTTTTCCGTAATGTATTCATCATTTAAGACCTTTTTTGTCACTCAATGGCAGCCCAGGTTTCTCGTCTCGCCAACAATGCCAGCGTCATGCTTCATATCAAAACTAATAAACAGTGGTATCAACTTCTATACAACTAGCGACCCGTCATCAGGCCACACTCCATCTATCCCCGTCCTGCCATCACCTCGAGGGAGGCCTCGGTCTCCCAAATCGCTCCCCAAACGACGGTCCCGGGGGCTGCGCTCCCCCACTGTCCTCCTTGCTCAAGCCCAGACCATGTGGTAGACTTGCGCGTATCTTGTTGATGGGCGGTAGCTCGATCCTACTGCTGACCCCGATGCCAGGTGCGCCAACGCTGTTGCTACCCGGTGGTGGAGAATGTAACAGCCAGGACGATTCTCCCTCCTCCACGAACCCCACGTCACTCTTCAGTCGCGCGATTTCGTCCTCTGTGACCTGCCGCCAGCTGCACTTTGCGTGCTTCTTTGTGCAACCCTGACAGGCGGTGAGGTGCTTCAGGCACTGTAGCTTGAGTCGTCGGCAGCGATCGCAGGCCGGGCTGATGGGGTCGCCACGGTGCAGTTTGTCGATTTTCTGGGTGATCAGAGGACGGAGAGTATCGACAGGTACCTCATCGGCCGCAATGGTCGAGGGCGACCGGGTGGCAGCGGGCACGCGCTGCGGCGCTGCGCTGGACAGGGCCGGGGAGGACAGGCCCTGACTCAACCCTGCGCCCGAGGTGGACCGCGAAGCCGTGGTGGGTGTCGGCGGTGAGAGGAATTGTTGCAGCAGATCAGCTCGCAAGTCATACGGCGCGGGGCCTCTCGAGGGTGGTCGGCTCGTCTGGTTGATGGACTGGAACCGCGAGGAGGCTTCGTCGGCCTGCGGTCGCCTCCTCATAATGTCCTGCCTGCGCTGCCCCAGCTTGTGGTGCAGAATCCTCGACCGGGCGGCCACGTCGTCGGCTCGCCTCCACAGCATCGAAGCTCTTTGTTCCAGCAGATCCAGGGTCTCTAGCTCGGCCGCCTCGTCCTCCTCGAGTGGGTCTTCCAGCGGTATCCTGCTGAGGAAGCCAGACATGATGAGTCTCCAATCGTCCTCAGAAATTTCCACTTGCACGCCATTCTTCCAGTTAAACTGGCAGCACCGCGTGCCATCCGGCAAGGTCGCCAAGACGAACTCTTCCGGGTTGGTTCGCGAGAACGAGTACACATTGTGCCAGGTCACGGCGGACGACCCGAACGGCTGCTGTGGTGGGTTTGTCTTGATGGGGCCGTCGAAAAAGCTCTCAAACCCACGCGCCAGACGTGGGCCATGGAGTTTGGCGCCCAAAGACAAGGCGAGACTTTCCTGACGCTCGAGAACACCTTTGACGCGTGAGTAAAGAGACAGCCAAGGCCGGGCTCCACCTACCTTCATAGCTGCCAATGATACGCAGGATCTCGAAGAATGGCTCCGGGTCGTTTGGGAGAAGGAACAGCCTTTCCGTGGTACTTCGAGTGAGATAGTTGATGAAGCCCGTGCCGTGGCCTGCCAGTGTTAGCAAGATGCTTCCATTGCAGCTGGGTTCCTCAGAGGATTGATGTGACCGACCTTGCTGATTTTGAGGTACGATTGGAGGCAGAGGCTTGGTCTGGCCTTGGTCATCCGCATCGCGCTTGCGCTTGTTGGCGTCCTCGGTCATGGTCAAGTACCAGTGCTGTCAATGTCCGTGGGTCGACCTTGGAAGATGGCGAGTCGCAGCGCGGACCTCTCTCAGTTTGATTCTAATAAATCAACACTCGAGAGGGAAAAAACGATGGCAATATCTCTCTTACCGAATCCGTATGTGAGGAAAGGGACAAGAAAAAAAAAATCTAACATAAAAAAGAGAAAAGAGACACGTGAATACTCTCAGCAAAATCGATCGCGCATCGGACCAAGCAGGTGTGATGACACCCAGTTTGCGTGCGGTCGAGATGCTGCTGCGTGTCAAGGTCCGCAGTCCGCACGGGCAGCGCTTTGCGACTTGGGAGTCTGCGACGGGGCCTAGACCCTCTCGGCCGGGGATTGACGTCCGATTCGCGAGTTCCTACCAGAGCTAGTCGAACAAGTTGGGGAGGACATGCATGAATATGGAGGATAGGGGAATGTTGTTCAATGATTCCATCGCAAAGCCCCCGCGTAGCCGAGGGAGACAGAGACACTTGTACCCGGCCTCTGAGGGTGGGACCCTTGTTGGTGGGCGGTGGTGGTATGAAGAGACGCAGGTTGATGGGCAGATGCGCGGAACAGAACGAACGAGGCTAGACGTGGAGAAGAGGGACTACCCCTATCTCGCTCGCCGGACTTGAGTCCTTGACCTGCCTTATTCTGGCTCTGGTGATGGCCCTGATGGGGGGGGGAGGGGGTTGTTGGAGAGCCACCAGGTAGATGGTGGCAGATGACGAAGAGGATCGCGGCCATTGACCACTCAGGAGCCGCGGCGACCGCGACATGTCCACGGATGGGAACTCCGAGGCCAGCTGTGAATTACATGTACGTAGTTTGGGGGAGCGGCCAGCGCGAGCGCGGTCGGTGAGGAGATAATGTGGATTGGATAGGGGACTCATGATGGACATGTCGCCTCATCTATGAGGGAGGGATCATCGCGTGTGAGGGGCACTGCACCCCAACGACTGGAGCCCACTCTCCAGCCACTCCAGCCGCTGGTGGATACCAAGGGCGAATGGCATTTCGGGGCGATTTGACCTATTCGAGCCCCATAGCAAAGAATGTTGTCTTGCACGCGCTATGAAGACTGGACAAGAACTCAAAGTTCGGGGTCCAGTTCCTAGTGGTGAATCAGAACATTGGGAAAGTCCACTAGAACACGCTTTGGGATAGCTGCCACTGCCAAGGACTACCCAAGAGGACCCCGGATCGCTCTGGCAGGCAGGTGCGGCGGCTATCTCACGACTAGCCGCGTCAACCCCTGGCCCCCATTGACTATCTCATTGATACTAGGTACTGTATATTATCCGCTTCTCCAATGGGGTCAACAGCTGAAGAGCAAAAAGGGTATGCTTATGGTGAACTATTCCCTAAATTATTCCCACTTCCAACGGCCCGCGCACAATGGCCTCAATGTGTCGCCACTTGCTTTTCAAACAGTATTTCCGCCTGCCGGCCCTCACCGCCCTCGCAAGGTACTGTAGGCTTCAGTATTCCATGTTCACTAGGTTAGTAGCTAGCTTAGTCGTCACAATGTCTGCAAGTGGCAATGTGCTCGCCTAAGGTGATGCCTGCACTGGACGATGATTGCGTCGATCATGGCTTGTGCTGGTGTCCCCCTCCTCTCTCGATTCCAAAGAGTGGTCCTTGCGTGTTTGCCACTTAATATGTGTATAATCCCCAATCTTGAGGGCGCAGTAAATTTTGATGCGAGGTCGGACCATACACTCTAATAGCCCACCACCATGCTTCCCCGCTGATGATCTTCCTGTTTCGCGTGTTGCTTTATACAAGTTCGAAGATGACTGGGAAAGGTGCAGGGTAACTAGGCAAGCCTAGTCTCTGGTAGCGCCCATGGCCTGTCTTGCTCAGAAATAGGAACAAGAGCGAGACCACAATACCCAATTGACCTTGAAAACACTACACTGAGTTAGACATGGAAGCTAATGTCCAAAGGCCTACTTTTGTACGATGCGAGCGTAACGCGTCCCCGCAGCGCGCGTCGTCCGCAGACACGACATAATTCTATCACCACATGGCACCCAAATTCACACCAGCGCTGCCTGGGTATTCTTCCCCCATCCAGCAGAGCTACAACCTCTCTGCCCCTCCAAGTTCCAACCTCACCTCACCTCACCTCACCGGCCCAACGTCACACCCCTCCGCAAGGCCAACAACAACCAACAAATCCACGGCCCCTCTCCCACACACGAAACCGAAGCAAAATGTCCGACAGGGGGATACATCGTGGCGGCGGCGGCGACCACAGAGGCTCCTCGCGCGGCGGACGCGGCGGTCGCGGCAACGCTCGCGGCGGATCGACACACAACGCCCCTTCCTCCACGACCGAGCGCCCTAAGAAGGAGAACATTCTCGATCTGGGGAAATACATGGACAAGCAGGTTACGGTGAAATTCAACGGCGGACGTGAAGGTGGGTTTCTGCAGGCATTCCCCCACCGTCTAGCGAGCGCGCAGCAGGATTTTCTCGAGCTGTGCTGACAGGAGACGATGTAGTTCGCGGCACACTAAAGGGCTACGACGCATTGATGAACCTCGTCCTCGACGACGGGCAGGAGACTATGCGCGGTAGGCTTTCCTTGCGAACGCCACCTCGGGAACGGCTTGCTGACAACCGCCTGTAGACGACCAGGGCAACGAGACGATGCGATCGCTAGGTTTGGTTGTGGCCAGGGGCACACTGCTGGTGCTCATCAGCCCGGTGGATGGGAGCGAGGAGATTGCCAATCCTTTTGCGCAACCTGAGGAGGACTGAACGAGGCGAATCAAAGACAATGAAAAAAAAAAAGAACCCATTTACCACAGCTGTCCTGCAATGGCTATTATGGAACCTTGCCCGCCGACACATTGATACCCTGCGCAGTCGTAAAAGAGTCATTCAAATTCAGCGCTACATAGGTACTAGCCAACGTCTGTTGACGAAGATTGGCACCATCTCCAGCGGACCAGGATGTTTGTATGTACCTTTGTGTGTGCAGTATGACAACACCGCTATAGCCCGGATCCATCCGCGCTCGCTGAGGCACATGTCAGCCAAGCGACTGATGCTTTCTCCAAAACACCTTGCCTCGTCCTCTCCTTCTCGCTCCTCTCCAGTGCCCGTCTCCGCTCCCGCGAGAAGGTCCGGTAGGAACCCCCGCCTAGAATGAGCCGCCGACATATTGACTAGTCCCAGCGTCGGGGGCAGCGGGCGGATTCGCTGCATCGTTCAGTGCCATGGGGCCCTTTCCCTACAGGCCCTTAGCCTGTTTGCTAGCTTTCTGGAGGTCTCCGAATGCCGAGCCTAGTTGTTTCTTCAATTCTTTGTAGCTGACCACAAAACTCGTCTGCTCGTCGCGGCTGGTCAAACAAACTTTCTCTTCCGAGCCGGCTTCGAGCTTGCCAAGACAGGTGATCATGTGGTACACATCAAGCACCGGATTCCCATCCGCGTCTACCTGGTGGAAGCAGTAGTCGCGGAAGAGCTTGAGCAAGTAGCGCTCACCGTTCTCGGACCAATTCGGATCCCCACTCAGCTCATGCCGCTCGTTGATGGCAGCGAGCTTGAGCATCAGCCGGAACTGCCTGCCGTTCTCTAGCGCCGTGCTCAGATGAGACTTGTCTGCGTCTCTACTCTGTTCCTCCACGTCGAGCTGCGCGAAGGCATGCAGTGCGATGCCACGCATAAACTCCTCGATCCCCTTTTGCGCCGGTGGCTGCTGCGGCGACAAGAGCCAGAGCACAGTGTCCCTGAGCTCCACCGAGTACACCCTGCTCAGCTGCTCAATCGATCCATTGATATTGTTCAGGTTGGACGGATGCGTGTTGGTCGCCAGTGACAGGATGACCCGACCAAAATTAATAAAGTCCTCTTGCTGGAGCTCTGCTACGGGACGTCGGGCCTCATAATGTACGACGTCCAGGATAGAGCATGCCCCGAGGCGTATGCGATTGGCTCGTGCATCTGTCAAGATGATCTTGGTCACATCAATGCAGCGCGCGGCCAGATCCTTTCCGTGAATGACTTTCAATGCCGCCGCAATCTGCGTGATATAGGACCACAGCACGGACTCTTGGATAGGATTCTTCTGCGCAAAGCGCCCTCCGTGGGAGGAGGTTGCCAGGTGTGCCTCGGCCAATGTCTGCGAGAGCGGGTGGAAGTCCTGCACGAAGACCAAAGAACTGTCTCCAAACATCCGGGTCGTAAAGGCATCGTGGGTTTGGACCACGTTGGCGCTGACGATGCGCCTCCACTCCTTGACAGACCGAATAGCGTGCTCGTTGCTCAGTCTGAAGTCCTGCAAGCGCCTCAGGCAGACGACGGTTCCGGTCCGTGTCGCCTTAGCCTTGTAGACCCAGCTGTTGTATCCAAAGATACTTGCGTTTTTCCTGTGGGTTGTGTCAAGGGGAACGAGCGAATGGTAATTGTCCAGCTGTGGCAGCTGTGAGTTGGGCATGACCTGGTTCGCGGCCTCATTCTTTTTGGTCAAGTCGATCCGCACGTCCTCGGGTATGAAGAAATCCGAGGTTGTTCGTTCGTAGGGCTTCAGGTTCGTGGGCTTGGGCCCCCAGGTCGAGTATAGGTGGTGCTGCAGTGGCTGCAGCGGGGTCTGATAAGCGTTCTGGCTCGGAAAGAAGCCAGCGCCGGCCCCGAGGGCGGCCTGGTCATCTGCGTAGGGGTTAAAGGGCGTCGTAGGCAGGCTCTGTCCGACAGTCTGCATGCTGAAAGGATCGTAGGCCACGGCTGCTTCATGCGCCGTCGTGCCGTTCGAGGGGGTCGCGGTGCTGGCCACGTCGAAGCTTGGGGTAAACTCGCGGATGGCTGCAGGGTTGAACGACGGCACTGATGCATCGGATGAGTCTGTCTGCGCAGCTGCTGGTACCCGTTAGCGTGCCATGTCACCTGTCGAGCAGGTGACGTCCTACCTCCAAAGCCCCGCGGCGTGAATGACGGTGCGTTGGCAGCTTGTGTGCTCAAGGTTGCCTTTTTGGGAGCCGTAGTCGCAGGCGTGAATGTGGGTGAGTCAACATTTAAGGCTTTTTTAGATCTGCAATAAGGCCAATCGTCAGTCCCGCTCCCTGCGGAAAGCCCTGGGCGACACTCACAAGTCTGATGGTGATGATTTGTTTTTATTTTGATCATGGCTGAACGCACAGCCCTGGTCCTCATATCGACAGTGCCCGTATATAAGTACGTTTCGACAAAGGGTATCCTTGTTCTCCACTGATAGGTCATGTCAATCGCAACGCTCGCTCGGCTACAGTCTGGTGGTGCGCATACCTCGCCCCTTAGGCCTTGGAGAACCGACCTGACGACGGACGTCGCTGTTCTGGTACCGCGTTGTCGCCATTGTCTATCTTGGCAAGTCGCATCGATTTCCGCCTCCCGTAACGGAGCTGCAGTGTCTGGAAGGACCGAGTCAACGCGGGTGGCTCAATGGTGCGGTCCCGTCGCGTCGCTGCGTCGCTGTCAAGGGAGGGCTGCTGACCTAGCTTGGGCAAAGTCCCATGGCTCGATTGATCGTGGCCGAGGCCTCAGCATGGAGATGCAAAGCTGCAGTTCAGTCGTTACGCGATCCGTACGACGGCCGGTAAACGCTTGTTGTTATTGCGGGTGTTGGGGGGTAAAGCTGGTGCTGTTGGCGTCCAGTCGCTGGTGGGGGGATACGCAAGTCGGACGGCGGGCGATTGCGGCGACGGCTTGGCGGAGGGCGTTTATGTATGTACCTAGGTACCCTGCCTGCCAAAATCTTTGGGAAAGAACATGCATGCTCGCTGGGCATGAATGACGCCGCACTCGCTATTGAAGCCACACGCACAGCCACAGCTCTCAATACCAGCAACGTCACCTCGGACTGGAGTTGGACCCAAGTCTCTTAGCCACCTACCGAAAGCTATTTGTCGGCAAAGGATGTACAGAGACATGGGCTGACTGAAGTGAGAGCACCGAACTGCCTGCGATACCGCTATCATTTGTTGTCAATTCCAACCTTTGATGCTACGGTTGCTATTACTAGTCTAGCACAGCAAGCACCGAACACGCACCACACAACAACCCACAATCGCGAGCGACGCAATGGCAGATTCAAACAACGCCGAGGACTTGTCTGCTCCTCAGCAGGACGCTTTGCAGCAGTACATTGCTGTCACCAACCAGGAACCCAAGGATGCCATCCCCCTACTCCGCCGGTCTCAATGGAACGTCCAGGTATGTCAACTCGAGGACAGCCACACTAGCCCCTGTTCGCGGATTCTGACAGTTGCGCTCTACAGATTGCCGTAGCCAAGTTCTTTGATGGCGAAGGCCCCGACCCTGTTGCCGAAGCGCTAGCCGCTCAAGACATCCCCCGCGAAGCCGCACGTCACGAGAATCTGCAAGAAAGCCTATGGGCTGCTGAAGCAGCACCCTCGCGTGCCCGCCGACCGGGTGCGCAGACCGACGCAGCGCCTCGCATCGTGCCACAGCAACCTGTCACCGGGCGGTCGCCATGGCTGGTAGGCCTGCTGCTTACGCCACTGAGCTGGAGCTGGACGGCCGCCTCGTCGCTATTCCGCACCTTTGTCTACATCCTATCCTTTCTGCCGGCACCGTTGCGTCCGCGCGCACTGACGAGTGGGCCGGCAGGGCTGAAGAGCAACAGCGGTCGGCGCATGCTGATGCCGCGCGACACGGCAGCGCGCTTCAAGAGGGAGTTTGACGAGGAATACAGCGCAAACGAGCTGCCCTTCTACGAGGGTGGCTTCGCGCAGGCCCATGATCAGGCCAAGAAAGATCTCAAGTTCCTGTTGACGGTCATTCTCTCGCCTGAGCATGACGACACCGAGTCCTTTGTCAAGGAGACGCTCCTAGACCCTCAGGTGGTACAGTTTGTCAACGACCCCACCAACAACATCATACTCTGGGGCGGCAATGTCCTGGACTCGGAGGCCTATCAGGTCTCGACCGAGTACAAGTGCACCAAGTTCCCCTTTTCGGCTCTCATCTGCCTGACGCCCAAGGAGGGAAGCACGAGGATGGGGGTTATCAAGCGACTAGTCGGACCGACGCCAGCGGCGACCTACGTGTCTGAGATGCAAGCTGCGATGGAGAAGTATGGCGGCGACTTGGCCAACGTGCGCGCAGAGAGGACTGCTCAGGAAGTGACTAGAAGCCTCCGTACCGAGCAGGACTCTGCCTATGAGCGCTCGCTGGCCATCGACCGCGAGCGCGCCCGTCAGAAGAAGGAGGCGGCCGAGGCCGCAGCCGCAGCCGAGGAGCGTGCGGAACGAGAAGCCGCGCAGGCAGCTATCCTGGAACAGAAGCGAGCACAGTGGCGGACATGGCGTGCCACGAAACTCCACCCGGAGCCACCGTCATCTGACAAGAGCGTAGTGCGCGTAGCACTGATGATGCCCGAGGAGACGGGGGCTGGTCGTATCACGCGACGCTTTGCGCAGGATGCGGCTATGGAGGAACTGTATGCCTTTGTCGAGTGCTACGGGGTGACGACGGATGGCGGCGAGGATTACGAAAAGCCTGACGGGTACGAACACGAATACTCGTTTAGGATTGCGTCGACGCTACCACGAGAAGTCTACGAGCCCAGCCAAACAGCCACCATGGGGGAGAGGATAGGGCGGTCGGGGAATCTGATTGTCGAGCAAATCGTGGCAGACTCGGACTCGGAGTCAGAGGACGGCTCGGAAGAAGATGCTTGAGGAAGACATATAGATTTTGACAGTGTTCTCGCACGAAGACATTCTTCCTCTCAACATGCCTATTTAGCGATTATTGCTCTAAGTCCGGCTTGTGGCTATTCCTTAGGTTTCAAGTGCCGCATGGTGAGTCTGTTGTGTGGCACAGTTCGCTGCCAAGAGCGAGGCTGCGACTGACGTGTGCTTGTGGCCTGACGAGTAATCGGGTTGCATTAGCTCCGAACATCGCTGATTGATAAGTGACTAGGAGTAGGTAAGCATAAACGCAATGTGTAGGAGGCGTCACACGCGTCCATGGTGTCTTCTACGCATCTGTCTCGGCTGACGGTGGGGATTGCGTATATGTACGGTACGTGCGCGGCACTTGGGGGCTGTGCATTCCTCCCTGGACCTTATTACAAGTTTATGGGCGAGGCCTTGATTGAATTATTAATTGATTTGTGCCAATCTGGTCTCGCTTGCGCAGACTTGGACGTCAAAAGAGCTTAATTAGTCCTCATGACGCATTACGAATATTGACAACTGAGCCACACTATATACGTTAGTCTAGGGTAACCAACAAGAAGGGACTGGACCCTGCACGACGAAATTGGCTGACTGGAGTCACTGGACCCCCAAGGCCAGGCAGCCGCAGCCGCCCACCCCCCCCAGGACGACTGACCGTGAGAACGAGGCCTCATTGTTTCCTCTCCTCCTCTCCATCTTCCAATCGTCCCTCCATCCTCTGTGCTTCACGTCCAGACCCGGACATTCAGAGCATCAGCCACCCTGGCGCTGCGGCGCCTGATACCGTGTCCATTTGCATCTTTAGCGTTCAGCGGCGTCGCATCTTGTTGCAACCCTCCTAGTTGCCTACCCACCCGCCCAGTGCACTCACCGAAGCGCACTCGCTCACCACCGGGGAGCTATCACATATTGTGATTGTCGCCGTAGGATAGCGCCTCCACCAGCGGGCCGCCCATATCCCTAGCCGAACAAATCGACAGCGCCTACGCATACGAAAGCGCGCGCGCGCGCGGTAAAGCGAGGACAACAGCAACAGGGACCATGAAGTCCATGAAGAACAGCCTCAACGTGGGCAAAGTCATTGGCAGCTTCAGAAAGCGCGCCGGGGGTCACAGCAGCAGCCACGATGCCGCAGACGAGTCGTCACCAGGTGCGGGGGCAGCCGGCTCACCATTCTCCGCCGGGGCAGCCGCCGCCGCGTCTGGCAGTCCCGAGACCAACGCGAGAGCGGCTGTTCAAGCCTTTTGCGAAATGGGCGGCAGCAAGTCCCAGATGAAAGGCGACGAGATCCTCCACCTCCCACCCATTGTCGACGCCGCCGAGTCATCCCCCGCCGCCGCTGCCGAGTGCGCCCGCGTGATCCGCCGCTTCCTCGGCAAGGAGTACAACGGCAAGCCGGCGTGGCAGTACAATGCCCTCATGCTCGTGCGCATCCTCGTCGACAACCCCGGACCGTCCTTCACGCGCAACCTCGGCGAGCCCGAGTTTGTCGAGACCACACGCAAGCTGCTCAAGCACGTGCGCGACACGCGCCTGCGGCACATGCTCATGGAGATGCTGGACGACTTTGAGCACACCAAGCAGTACGACGAGAACCTGCAGCCGCTCGTTCAGATGTGGAAGGCGCAGAAGGAGGATGCCTTTAAGAAGAACGGCGGGCCGCCGCCGCAGATGATGCAACAGCAGCGGCAGCAGGCGTACCAGCAGCAGCAGTACTACCAGCACCCGCAGCAGTGGCAGCCGCAGCCAGCCCAGTATCGCCAGTCGCAGAACTACGCCGCGCGTGCGCAGCAATCATCGAAGCGCCTCCCCGATCCCATTGAGCTCTCCAGCCGTCTCGAGGAGGCCCGCACATCCGCCAAGCTCCTGGAGCAGGTCGTCATGAACACGTCACCCAGCGACATGCTTCACAACGATCTCATCAAGGAGTTTGCCGACCGCTGCCAGAGCGCCTCGCGTAGTATCCAGGGCTACATGCAGTCGGACAACCCCGCCCCCGACAACGACACGATGGAGAGCCTCATCGACACCAACGAGCAGCTCCAAACGGCGCTCAACCAGCACCAGCGCGCCGTCCTCAACGCGCGGAAACAGATGGGCGTAGCCTCCCCGCCCCAGGTCGCGACGCCCGACGCCCACGGTGATGATAGAATCGTGGCCTGGCAGCGATCGCAGGCTGAGCTACACGAGTCTGGTGAGCACCCCGAGGACCCCCACATTGTCAACGGCAAGGGCAAGGCGACTGCGGGGCCCCTCGGGGATGCCGCTGATGCGCAGGATCCCTTCCGGGATCCAGAGGAGCACCAGCGCCATCACTTCGAGTCGTACCACCCCGGTGGGTTCGGACAGCCTGACGGTCCATCGTCAGCCGTGGCAGGTGCTGGCGGTGCCAGCTCTACGCGAAGGAGAGAGATCGATGGCGAGTCGGAGGATGCTGACCTGTACGGCGCGCCGCCTGCCGCTGCCAAGGAGAAGGACAAGGCGACTGAGCCGATGCGCCTGTCGTAGGACGTTGCGGTGGACATTGGGCTTGCCTGCCAAATTCTAGTCACGGTCATGAAACATACAATACCCGACCATTTCGATTTCGAGAAGAACAGAATTGATTCCCCCGAGTTACCTTGGGTCTACAGAGTGATTGTTGAAGGGATGCCGCCACCTCGTCCTACGTGTAGAGTCTGACGATGATTGATCGCTCTCCTCACAGGAATGCACGACGTGTGCCTCGTCCATGCTGTTCTCCTCCCGTCTCCGAGTTGACCTCGTCGGCGTCGGGAATATAATTAGTGCCTATCGGAGTACGGCCATGCGGGCTGTACATACGCGCTTGTCCCAAAGAGGTAATCTCGACGAACAAATAAGCTGGGGCCAAAACCATGCCACGTCTGCGACTCTGCGCTCTGCAAGTGGTCCGTGAGGAGCGGAGAGGAATTTGGATAGTACTTTGTATCTCTTTGTATTCGTGTAATGTAATGCGTGATGATGATACGCAGCGGAAGTTCTTGTGGTCCCGGCATGTTTTGTTGCGACCAGACGTCTTGGACAGGGTCTACTGGTAGAAAGTATGGGTCGATTGGTGGAGTAGGTTGATACGCACGCTTTATTCTCCTCCACTACATCTCCGTTGTCATCGATTGGCACCTATCTCTACATGTTGCCAGACACTCTGCGCTCATATAGTATTCCAATAAAGTTCGAGAACATGCGATAGTTTCAGCGTCACACGCCAGCCCCCAGGACAGACCCACTAACTCTCCGAGAGACAAGCGGGTCGCGCCTGCGATTGGCCGGACAGGCCCTGCAGATGCCTCTTTCGGACATTCTTGCGAAACAAGCGCCTCCAAGTGAAGGAAGCCTTGATTCCTCCTGCTGCTCAGCCTCTGCGGTGCGTTGACACTGCTGTGATCCCAGCCCCTCGTCCACGGTTTAAACACGACGGTATTCGCTGAATGTGCAAATGGATTAGCTTACACAATAGACCTCCTCGACTGGGGACCCTTCCTGGCCACGGCCCGTCTCTCCACCACAACGCGACATCAGACAGACATGGCTTCTGCCGCCCATTGTTCAAACAACTCTGTGTCCATGTATATGTATATACGGCCCTGCATATAGGCCTCTTTGACCGCGCATTTCGCCTGCATTACCTCTTGCGGCCTAGTCATGCCCGATGGGTCATATTTCACTACATTTCCCACCTCCCTTCCACTGACTTCCCATACGTACTCACCCAACGCACGCATACCCTCCTCACGTTCGTTGCGTTCCTCCCTCCCTCCGCCGATGGACCACCGCGACAGGCAGCTGAAATCAGAACACGCAACGCGCGAGCCACCCTCGGAATATCATGTCGTTGACCACAGGATCGGCCACCCTCTTGTCCCCTCCCCCTCTTTCTGCGCCCCATGCCCTTCAACCGAGGAAGCTACGGCGGAAGGCGTCGGTCCTGGACGGTACACATGTTGTCGGCGCCGCCTCCAAAGCGATGACCAGCAGTCTAGAGCACTTGAGCTCCGAGCTCCTGAGCTTGATATGTGAGCAGGTGGGTACGGTTGCCCGCGGTCTACCTACGTACGGGGTGGGAGGGGGGGGGGAGGGGGGAAAGAACGCTGAAACGCTGACCTGCGCGTGTGTGTAGCTGCGGGGAATAGACCAGTCCTCACTGTGGAACGTGCGACGTGTGTGCCGTCGTTTCGATAACATTGCGACACCAGTCTTGTACCACGTATTCGAGCTGCATGACCGAGTCTTGTCAGCCTGCTGCTGTCCTCGAGTTAAGCATCACGTGGAGCGATATACAAAACACATCATTATACCTGGGTCCCTCTACGCTCCAGGGGTAAGAGGAGTACTGAGATGGGTAGGCACACTCAAGTCCATAACGTGAGTGGCTGGAAGGAAGAGTGGCCTTTTTGTGGGATGAAGAAGGAGAGCTGACAAAACAGGTGGCGGTTCGAGGGCCATGGTCTGCAGGACGACGCTGGTCAGTGGCTCCCCAGGGCTGTCCTCGACACGGAGCGAATGCGACAGGACGGTACAGAGCTACGGATCGAGGGGTTGCCGCTTCGACAGTTTGATTGCGAGGCCTACAGAAGAGCCATACCCAGCGACCTTCTCACATCCCTCACCATCGCCAGTCCAACACCGCCATTGACTGCGCGTCTCGACGCAGTCAAACACCTCCTCGTACATGCACCCCATCTCCGAATTTTCGAGTACCAGGATCGAGGGCAGGGAACCCAGCTGGCGTTCGGGGTAGGGGAGCGCATGCCCCCCCTGAGAGAGCTATCGCTGCGGTCGTACGGGTGGAATCATACGCCGGAGCAGGTCCGAAGACACTGGGACTTTTCGCAGCTGCAGAGCCTGGTCCTCACAGCCGTGCCCTATCACAACTTTCTGCAGTCCCTCGACTTTACGACTCTGGGGAGATTACGCCACCTACACATAGAGGACTGGAGCGCGCACCTGCCGGACAAGAGGCGGGAAGCGACACGACTGCTGTATGGCTTGGTCAAACATCACCTCCAAGACTTGCGATCACTACGGATCACATGTCACGTCGGGCTATTTCCCGTGGATGCATTGATACGGCACGGTCACTCCTTGGAGGATGTACGGTTCAGGGACCACGTTGGTTTCGCAGACGACAAACGCTCCTGTCCGACAATGCGTGCCTCGGACTTGACCCAGATCGCAGAGCGTCTCCCGTGCTTGCGGCGTCTGGAGATGGACATGGACATTCAGGGACCCGATTCACAGCGCTTTCTTGACGCGCTCTGTCTGTGCCCGCGGCTGGAGGAGGTCATTCTTCACGTCCAGACGCTCATCACACCCTGTGGCGAGTCGATACCAACACACGATGTGGACAGGTTCGCCAGCCAACGGATACTCAACCGTCTTCTCAGCCGCCAAAGACCCTGGAAGAGCATCACCATCAACGTGGGCGGCTGGCGACGCGTCATGGTGCGTCGTCTCGACCCGCTTTGGCGGGAGTACAACGACATGGGCATCTTTGCGGAGCGGTGCTTCGTTCTCAGTGCGAGAGATGGGCGGTACGAGGTGCGAGAGGTACGATGCATAGAAGCGGGGAGCAGCAGAGCAACACCTGATATCGAGTAGTGCGAGACACGGCCCATTAGAACGTCTACTGCACGGTAATGAGGAGCTAATACGACGTCAGTTAGGTCAACGAAAGGCAAAAGGTGGATTCTATAGGACTTTGGAAATCATCTACAAATATTACTTGACACGCTCTCTCCGCTGCTACGAGCGAGCATCTTTCGCTCACACAGATTATTAGTACTTCCTTTGCTCCTCCCACTAGAACACTCGATCCTCCAATTATTCTCACAATGTCAAGTCAGGAGACTCCTGAGGTGACCGTTCACGGAACGGGCAATGACGGCTGGATGGGTGAGGAGCACGGACAAGGTCAAGTAGAACGGGACGTCAACCTCATGGCATATACTGTGCCGACGGGTAAATGAGAGAAAACGCTTTCCAATTGTATTTGTCCTGTATGTAGCAAATATATGATCTTAACTACTAAATGATATCTCCCATGCTTTTTTTTTTTTTTTTCTTTTGGGTGGACGGACTTTTGAGTATATATGTGCCTTGTCATGATCGGCATGTCAAATGTTCATTCTCCCCCAAGCATAGGTTGACCCTTGTTCTATTTCTCTTTCTCGGTGCTGCCGCTCGAGCCGCCGAGGAACTCGCCAAACACTCTCTCCTCGATATCCATGTCCTTGAACGCGGTGCCCGTGGCCTTCTTAGCACGTTTACGGAAGAAGATACGCTTGCCCCACTTCCAGAGCTCGACACCCATAAAAAAGAGGGCAGCGGCGATAAAGACAATGGCCCACTCCCAAGTGATGGGCATGTGCTTGAAGACCTCCTCGTTGAGCACGGGGATATAAATGATGGGGAACATAGTGACGATACCGGCGATAATGGCCCAGAAGAGGAACTGGTTGCGCCAGATATCGTGCATCCACTGGGTAAAGTACTTCTTGGAGCCGGGCTGCATGCGGAAGAAGGACCGGCGCATGTCAATCATCTCCCAGGCGAGGAAGAGGGCGAACCAGGTCAGGCAGGCGAAAGTGGTGGCGCGGGCGCGGAAGACAGTGTCACAGTACTCTGAAGCGTTATTGTTGCAGTCCAGTCCGAGAGGGCCGAGATTTTCGCCAGTGGGGCCGATGTTGCTGCCGCTGCTGAAGCCGAAGACGACTAAGCTGAAGGCGCCCAAGCAGAGCGCGGCGATCCAAACACCGTAGACGAGCATGTCGACTAGGAATTCCTTTGTGAAGACACCAGCCTTGAGCGAGTGAGGGGGGCGGTGCATGATGCCGGAGACGGCTTGCTCGAATCCAAGACCCATGTCGGGCAGACCACTGGTGGCCATGATGATCCAGATGATCTGCACGGGTGCCAGGGGAAACACGGACACCCCAGTGTTATCCTTGAAGGCCAGACCAACGAGCAGCGTGAGTGCCTGAGCGACGTTCTCGGACAGCACGTGGAGAATGAATTTTTGGATGTTATCAAAGATACGTCGGCCCTCTTCGATGGCGGAGACGATCGAGGCGAAGTTATCGTCCGTGAGAACAATGTCAGAGGCGTCCTGGAATCATATTAGCGGGGGAGGCTATGATGAAATGGAAGAGACAAAGACTCACCTTGGCGACATCAGAGCCGGCCTGGCCCATGGCAATACCGACATCAGCACGGCGCAGAGAGGGCGAGTCGTTGACACCATCACCCGTCATGGCGCAGAAACGCTTCCTGCGGTGGAGGGCCTCAATCATGCGGACCTTGGTCGAGGGCGCACAGCGAGCAATAACGAGGGGAAGGACGGGGAGCTCATCGACCTGGTCGTCGGTCAGGGCGTCGAAGCTGGTGGCGGTCATGACCATGGCGGCAGCGACATCCTTAGCGACGTCGCCCATGCGGGAGGGCAGGATGCCGACCTCGATGGCGATGGCTTTGGCGGTCTCGGGGTGGTCACCAGTCAACATGTGTACGGAGATACCAGCCTCGTGGCAGCTTCGGACGGCGGGGGCAGACTCAGCGCGAGGGGGATCGTAGAGACCGACGAGGCCGTGGAACATGAGGTCACCCTCGACGGTAGCCCTCTCAATCTCCTCGCCCTCCTTGATTTCGTGCTCGTAGGGCTTGCTGGCCAGGGCGAGGACGCGAAGACCCAGGCTGGCAAAGACCTCCATGTTGCGCAGGATCTCCTGGCGGAACTCGTCAGTCATCTCGCCGCCGGAGTAGGTGGTGCAGATCTGGATGACACGCTCGACGGCACCCTTGGTATAGGCCGTCATCTTGCCGGTGCCCGTGTTCCTCATGACGACAGACATGCGCTTGACATCCGAGTCAAAGGGCAGCTCGGCGACGTCGGCCCACTGAGGCTTCTCGCCGTGGGTGCGGTCCACACGATTGGCGCCAAAGCGAGACGAGAAGACCTGGATGGCAATCTCGGTGGGGTCGCCGCGTGCCTCCCACTCGTCCGTCTTCTTCTTCTGGACGGTCGCAAGGTTGGCGAGGGAGGCGGTGTCAAGGAAGGACGCAAGCGCCTCGGCGCCCTTCTCGACGTGAGCAGCGGGCTCGGCGAGGGTACCGCATGAGTCGCCGCCTGTCTTGAAATCGATTTGGTGGGGGGAATCGGTGTGGTGGCGGATGTCTCCAGCAGTAGGATCGAAGGGCGAGGATGAGTTCTCAATGGTGAAGGTGCCGAAGCCGGGCAGCCAGGCGTTACGGGCGACCATCTTGCCCTGCGTCAGGGTACCGGTCTTGTCAGAGCAGATATCGGTGACGGCACCCAGAGCCTCGAGGGACTTGAGGTTGCGGACGATGACGTTCCTCTTGACCATGCGCTTTGTTCCGGCGGCCATGGTGATGGTGAGCACGACGACCAAACTGGCGGGAATCATGGAGAGACCGGTGGCGACGGCGTAGATGATAACCTCCTGTTGGTCGCTGAACTCATTGGCACCGAGCACGATGATGGCACAAACGACAGCAATACCAAACAGCAGGATGGCCAGCTTTGACAGCTTCCTCTGGAGCGGGGTTCCGACATTGACACCGAGGAAGCGGCCAACGGCATCGGTGGCAGTGAGTGTCCAAGCCTGGGCGTAACGATGGGGCTTGGCTGAGCCATCGGGCTTGCGCTTGACGGGGCGGCGCTTCGAGTCCTTCTTGCGAAGCTCGGCGGCGATAGCACCAATCTCAGTGTAGACACCGGTAGCGAAGACGATACCCTTGGCACGGCCCTTGGTGACAGTGGAGGAACTGTAGGCCACGTTAAGGCGGTCACCGGGTCCAGTCTTCTCCTCAAACGTCTCGTTCTCCTTCTTGCGGACGGGCAGAGACTCTCCGGTCAAGAGGGCTTCGTCTGTTTCAAAGTTCACGGCCTCAAAGACACGAATATCTGCGGGGATGGTGTCACCAGTCTTCAGCTCAATGAGATCACCTGGGACAATATCGCCCGAGGGAATAGTCTTGACGTCGCCACCGCGGACAACACGGGCTGTCGGCGAGCTCAGCGAGCGCAGCGAGTCCATGGTCTTCTCGGCCGAGTACTCTTGGAAGAATCCGACAATGACGTTGAGTGCAATGACGCCGGTGATGACACCACCTTCAATGTATGAACCGATACCGAAACTGACGGCCATGGCCATGATCAGGACTAGTGTCATGGCATTGGCCACCTGGGCGACGAAGATGCGGACGGGCGACACGCCCTTGGCGTCACCGAGGTCGTTGGCGCCGTACTTGTCGAGACGCGACTTGCCGTCATCGTCACTCAGACCCGAGTCGATGTTGGCGCCCAGCTGCGTGGCCACCTCGTTCACGCTGAGGCAGTGGGCCGGCGCCGACATGGGCTCGTTGGCCTGGCCGCTCACATGGCCCTCGGTGGGGCGCTTCTCTTCCTGACCCATGTTGTTGGGACGCGAAGTGGGTGAGCGCCTGGGTGTGCTTTTCACTTGCTATACTCGAGTTTTTTTGTGGTGGGTGGTGGTTGTGATGTTGATGAAAGCGCTCACTCCATAAGGTTGCAATCGACCGGCAGACAGGCTGTCGATGGATGTGCTGGGGGGACGGTCCCAATTCAATGAGACGCCGAAGCAGCAGATTGGTAGGAGAGACGGGAGAGGGAGTGAGTTGGAAATCTGAGCCTCTCTCCAGAAATCGGCTACAATCAGACTGACAAGAAGAAGAGAAGAGGGGAACAATCCAAGAGGAGGAGGACGGGGGCGGCTCAACTTAAGGATTAAGGTTGTCCGGTAGCAGTAGGAAACTAATTAAAAATTAGCAACGACCGTCATCGGCAAAGGCCGTGGGCCACGCCAAGATCGAGGCTCCGCCGGCGCTGGGCAACTGATGGAGTCTGATGCAGCGATGAAGCACGATCCCCACAGGAACCTCCAGCCGCCCTGATCCGCTTTACCGCCGTGCAGCGCTGCAGCCGTTGGGTGAGTGACTTGCCTGGAGATTACACGTGCTGGGAAAGGTGAGTGAATAATCTGGCGCTTTTCCTTGGCAGTCCGTAGATTTCGTCGGACGCGGACTGATCTGCCGGTCCAGTCGGTTCCAGGTGAGACGTGAGAGATCGCGAGCGCAGTGACGCAGAGGGTTGGAATGCGGCTTAGGCCATTCATCTCCAGGGACAGCCAGGCCAGACTTGACTCGAGTCCAGTCGCCTTTCAGTCCGCCGTCTCCGTGGCGACTTCGCCATCGCGTTGCACGTGGCGGGCAGGAGCCAGCCAGACAGGCAGAACTTGAAGACTACCCAAAGGTAGACTAGACTTGGGAGGGGTGGGAGGGCAGGCACGACTGGGCTCCTCGGCATGGGCGAGAATGAGGCGGGGACGTAGCGAGATACCAGAAGTACAAGTAATGGCACTGTGACTTCTACGGTAGACTAATCATCTAGCGCATCTGCTTTTGGAGCAATGATAACAGGCAGTGCTGAAGAGTTTTCCAGACCGGCAGGCTCGACTCGCTCGAGTGCTTCTCACCAAAAGATGCCCAGTATGGCCGGTGAGTGAGCGAGGAGCGAGGAGATGCTGCCCTGCCCCAGTCGGCACGTACTCCGCATGCATGACTCCACAGATATGATTGGTGCCTGGCAGTCCCCCGGGCACTCCTGGTGTTGCTGTCGCGTCAAGACAGATCTGACGTCTCCACGAGTTCGTTCTGCCGTCTTAGCGGTGGCCTTTGATTGGTTGATTGTGTATAATGTCGACGCAATTCGCCCACTACTGCCGTCCTAACGAGGTAGCCTCATTGGACAATGGCAGAAGTAGTGGATCTGTACGTGTCGCTTATCCGATTGCTCGAGTGCCCTCCCCCCCCCACCCCAGGCAGTTCATGTTAACTTATCAACACCGACGTAATTCAAATACAAACCCCTACGTCAGCGACAGCGGTAGATGAATCCTTGAGTGACGAGGTCTGATCCCGCTCGCGACGACCATGTTGACTTGACACGAGTGGCTCCTCAGCCGCTTTCGACCAGAGTCGCGGATGTTGTCTCAGACATCTTCTTCAACTTTGTGTCGTCTTCGTCCACAACTGGTGGGGGCCGGGCTGGCTTGGGTCCATCTGTGTCATGAGTTTGGTGGGCACTTGGGGAAACACGACACCGCTTTTTTGGGCCGACACAAAGCCGACACAATCAGGGACTAGCAGTCGGATTCTAGTCGTGCATTTACTCCACTGCACGGGACGGCAACTAGAATGCTGCAGAAGGCACAATTCGATCACAAATTCACAGTGACCAATGATTACAGGCGTATTTTTAGGTGAGACTCACGTGCAGAAAGACCGCATCTGGACAGTTTTCTTTCCGGGTGGGCATATCTCCGTTGACGCGCACGGGTACTGCCTAACCTACAGCACTACGGATGGATCGTCAACAAGGGTCGCAAGCAGCAGTACGTGTTAGCACCTGAGACACACAATATAAAGTCCCATTCCGGCCTCCTAGTACCCATTTTGATTTGGAGAAGCTCACAGATGGCATGAATGCATCAATTGTTAGTTCGTTAGCACACCGCAAATTGTTGTCAAGGTAGATCGCCCACCCCCTCTTCCATCGATGCCCTAAGCCATGTTTGTTCAACAGCAGCCCAGGCCACAGATCGACCATCAATGCATGCTGCTCACAAAATGGGCAATTGGGCACTTGACCGCCGCTATGATCAACGTCGGAGTAGGGCGATCACTCGAAGCGGAAGGGAAAAAAAACCTCATGCAAGGGGACTTGTTGGAGGCTTGGAGCGTGGAGCCCCGACAAGAGCCGACCCATCTACTCCATCGGCCTCTCAATATGTGGACATGATGGTCTCCGTGCAGCTCGGTGTGTCAAGAGCCTGGCGTCAAACGGGTGAACGGCTTCTAGAACCAAATAGCTCGCCTTCATCGCCCGCTATCTCGGTCAACGGCCAAAAAGCCCGGCAGTTGGCTTCATCGCGCTATTTTTGGTTAGAGCGACAGATCTTGTTGACATTTTCTCATATAGTAGCATTCGTGATCTCGAACAGCCAAAACCACAGGCCACACCGCACACTTTGCCGGCATCCAAATATAGAGAGCATGAGTTCGCAGAACAGACAGTATGCCAAAGTATACATTGCTTTCCTAAAAGATTACCTGGTCGTGTGCGTGCAAAAGTCCTACTGCCGCCCTCCCGTCTGCCAACACCCTGACTCCCATATTCCTCTCCCCTTCCCTGCCTGTTTCCCTGCATGCCGGAACGCCATGGCCTTGTAATGTGTGATCATGAGAGTAACTGAAAGATATCCCGAGTCCGTCCAGGTCTGGGGCTCTGTCCTTTCCACCAAACAACGTACACCACCTCCCACAAGCGCGTTGAGCACTTGCGTGCTTACTTGCAACATAGCTACCCTCCTCATGCACTGGCGCCCTTTCTCTACAACGAAGCAATGTCATACGTCTTGTCCAGGGCAGCCTCCTTTCTCTTCTTGGCGGCTGCATTCTTCGGGCCCTTGGTGGCTCGCGCCCTCGCCTCTGCCGTGACCGTCTTGCGGATCGTCTTGGTCTTGAGCACGCCCGAGCCCGCCTTGCCCTTGACCTTCGTCGTTGTCGAAACGCGTTTCCTGGCAGGCCCGGTCTTGACGTAGGCCTTGACCACCCGGCTCGTCGACGTCTTCTTGACGACGGCCTGTCCCTTGCCCCGGCTCTTGGCGGCCGATGCCTTGCCACCCAAAGCAGTCGCCTTTTTGACGGCGGATACACCCTTCTTGATAGCAGTCGCTGTGCCGTGCGAGATCTTGAGGCCCACGCTGGCCAGTGCGCCCTTTGTGCTCGTGATGCGAGGCTTCTTGGCGTCTCGCCCGTCTGCCTTGCCAGACAGCGCGGCACCCAACTTGCGCTTGCCGCCGCCGGCGGTGGCCTTGACCATGCCAGGCTGCTGGACCGCCTCGTGCCGGGTCTTGGGCCCCAGCACGCCGCGGCACTTTTCCTCGCCGCACAAGCAGAGCTGCACGTTCTTGGCGGAGAAGGGGTCGAAGTTGTAGTCGTAGGTCAGCTCATCGCCGGTGTAAATGGGGTTGTCCCCCGCAAACAGTGCCATCCGTGGCTGTCCAGAGACGATCCATTTAATCATCCTGCAGTTGGGATTGCAGCTGTGGTTGACGAACCGCGCAATGCTGCCTGACGTGGCGTCGATGATCATATTCTGATCGAAGCTCATGAGATAGTAGCACTGCTGGGTCAGTATGGGCGAACCGATAGCGACGGATAAGCAACTCACCTCGTTGTCCTTGTAAACCTCATTCATCCGGCGATCACATTCCTCTTCCGTGATGATCTCGCCAGCATACTCCATGATGATCTGCCCAGGCGCAAAGCCGCGGTTGGCACGGACACCGTAGCCACGATCCGACGTCTTGACAACCTCCACGCCAACGCGATATTTGCCGCCCTTGTTGCGGCGCTTGGTGAGGTCGCGGAATGCGCGGTTCCTGCAAAGTTCGGGACCAACGTTGCAGTTGGTTTCATCACACTCGTACAGCATGATTCTGTTCTGGCAGCTCTCCCCGCAGGGGTCGTCATCTGTGGCTTTGCAGACACATTTGGATTGGTAATCATGAAAGTGGTCACTCTTGCGCCAAATGTCCTTGGATTCACCAATGAACCGGTCTACCAAAAGTCAGCATGATGTTGGCCCAACGCAGATCAATCCGGGTTAGACTCACTCTTTGTCATCTTCCTCCACTCATCCGGCTTCGGCTGGCCGGGCGGGAGCGGATTGCAGATGTTGAACGGAAGCTTGAAGTCACGCCCGGCAATCAGCGTGCGCAGGCCGGTGAACATGGGTAAAGGCATAACCTTGTTGACCACGCCGCCGGGCCTCAGCTCCGGCAAATCGTCCAGCTGCTTCTTCTCCCCAGGCGTCAAGCCCTTCAGGGGATCCTTGGGAGCGTCCTGGCCGGCATAGAGACCCTTGTCCAGGTACTTTTTGACGCGACGTTTCTTGCCCTGTGTGACGGGCTCCTCCTCCACCTTGAGCTCCTCGACAGCCTGCTTTGCCTTCTTGCGCTCCTCCTCCTTCTTGACCTGGTTGGGATCGACGTATTTGCCATTGGACCACACAGTGTAGACGACGGGGCTATCGTCGACGTGAGAGAACTCCTTGGTGTCCTCGAGACGGCGTAACTCGCGTGGAATATCCTTCTCATTCACATCACCTGAGCGGCGGCTGCGACGCGTCGAGACGCCCGGTCGATCAGCCACCACTGGCGTGGCTTGACGAGAGGCAGCAGGGGTGGGCTGACGCGCCGCTACGCGCTTCGGCCTAGGTGAGGCTTCGGTGTGAGTTTTTGTCGTTGTTGAGCCAAGCGACCGCCGTGTGCGTCGCGTAGGTGTACCTCCCTTGATTGTATCTGGGTCCTCCTGGTCGATGTCTGTGGCCCTGCCAATTGTGCGGCGTCGACGGTTCGAGACACTGTCGCCTTTGGCGCGTCGTTTCCCATGTCCAGCGGTGCCGATGAGCTGCGCAATATTGTAGACAGGCTTCTTGCCGTCGCGGACACGTCGACTGCGCTCTGGCGTGGCCGCTTCCGCTCTGTGGATGGCTTCGTCTCGTAGTTGCTGCTCGATCAGCGGCCCCATCTGCGCAGAGTCGGGCGAGTCGGCGGCGAGGTCGGCGACAGAAGTCATGTCATGCTTCGACGTGTCAGAGTGCAGGCTCGCGCTGTCGGCCACCGTGGTGGGCGGCGTCGAGTTGGACGACGCGATGTTTGACAGGGCGTCCAAAGGGGCCGCCGAGAAGCTGCGCTCAGGTGACAACGACATGGTCGTAGGTGCTCGTGCTCATGCGCAGCAACAGCGCCGCGACAAGTGCAGAGGCGAATGATGATTTCCGTGCACACGTGTTGTGAGCAAACGGTGCAGAGGTAACAAGTGCACTGAGGTTGACGTGATGCACTCGCTGACCAGACGCGCGACGTGAGGCGCGAATCGGGAATAACGTATCCGTAGGATTGGAATGGCAATGGGGATGGGGAAGAGGTGCACTGGCAGGGTTTCAGGTGGGACCAGCAGTAGAGCAAGCAAACGCGCGTGGCCTCGCAGATATGGCCGATTGCCACTGGTTGGTTAGCCCAGCTAGCCAAGTCATTTAGTATTGATTGCAATTCTTTGGGGGTCAATTTGCTTGCTTACCTTTTCAGAGCTTCTCAGTGAGTAATCAGATTGAGTTTGATAGCTTTTCCTGGCTATGAACGCCTGGCAGTGCGTAGGCGCCGATATTAGAAAGTTCAAGGTTTCAGATAGCTACACTCGGAGCGAGTAACTTGGTCAATCACGGTTTTGCGTGGCACAGCAAGGTGAAGTTTTTGTCTGTTGGTGATGGCACGCGTCACACAAGTCAGGCTCCGACGCGGTGTTCGCATGCGTTGGCTGCCTTGAGGGCGGCTCGTCGTAAGAACGTGAAGCAGAGAATACTTGATGCTGGCCCGACACGCAGCAATGGCAGCTGTGACAAGACGAGTTGCGAGGTTGTGTGGTCGAATGGAGAGGGTTGAGGTGAAGAAGAGAGAGACCCAGATGAAGGTGGGAGGAGGACGATGGAGAAAGCGGAATATCAAATTACCTGAACTCCTAAACTGGCAAAACGAAATCCTCGATCGCGCATTGGCTGCTGCATGCGATATAGCGAGAGGACTATCCGTTCCACCTCTTCAACTCCGCGACCCTTTTATGTGACACTTGTCGGGAAAGATCGCTGTCCTCTCAGCTATGCAAAATTGCCCATGGTGAATTTGCGAGCAGAACGCACGTCACATGCGAGGTTTATATTGTGCGCAGATAATTTGGCAAGTGTCAGCATGTCACCATTGTTGACTTGGCTAACATCACGGTTGAGGGGACTGTGCACGGTCTGGAATCACAACTTTTATTGTGATTCGAGGTTTGCAATGTACTGGAGCAGTAATTCATGGAAAAGTCGCGAGTCGTGGGTAGTAGTGAGCAGATAACTGTTTTCCGCCAGCAGCCGGCGCGAGACACTTGTGGCGTTGTTCGCCTGCCGTTGCTGAAGATGGTCATTCGCGAAAAAAAAAGGCGGTGGCCACATCATCGACAACAGACCAAAAGAACTCTGCGCTCAGTGCTGCCAAAGAGTGAAGTGTATTTCGCAATTGTCGCCCATCTTTTCCCGGAAGCAAGCTGGTGAACGCATCGTCAAGGTGTCAGCGCCACCGAGGGCTAGGTTGAGACGTGAGAGCCAACCACATCATGGGCTCCCTCAGTGGCCGCGCCAATTTTACAGAACAGGGAAAGATAGGAGGACCCGAGCCAAAGGTAGCCTTTGTTTGAATGTACTATGAAGCCGTTATTTCTTCTCCCGGGGGCACAGCCGTTCTGAACCGTTGGTCTCTGTCGTTCGCGCAAGCTCGGCCCCTGTCACTCGTCATCCAACCCGCTTGAAGAACAAGAAGAGACATGATAGCTTCAAAATCAAAGAGAGCTCGTTCGAAGTGACATGATAGCCTCTGTCAATCCTGACGATTGACGCTCGACTCAATGTGCCGAGCGATTTACATCATCACAGTGGACATTCACGCCGCAGAGTGCAAGGGACTAAGGGGACGGAATGACCCAGGATTTTTGAACTAGATCTAACTCCCAAGACATCGACTGTGATTTCATGTTCTTTTAGCAGCATCGGTACCGCATTATCTCAATTTTCGTTGCAGGACACACCGTCTAGTGTTCCCGCGAACTAGGCGACGTTGCCGTATTGGGCTCATTGGGCACAAAGTCGCCTCATCGCAAAGCCTCAAATTGATACCACGGCTCTTAATGGTAAAGTTGCGAATGCACGCAAGCGAGGAATGTCACTTTGAAGCATCTAGCCCAGTCATTGCGCGCGGCTTGTGACATGGCCACCAGTCTGCCTTGAGATCTGACAGCCCCAACCCCTCATCACGTGCACTCCCATCAACATCAACAAGACTTCCAAGAGTCCGCAGGCCAGTGTGCAAATCCTGATCTGTCAGTGACATGGGCCTATTGGTGACGAACCATCGACCGACCTCGACGTGAACTCCTTCCCACGGTACAACTGTGTCGCGCCTGAGTTCTGCAGTGTGATGGCAAGCGTGTGCGGTTGAATACAAGAGTCTCTGTTCAGCGATAACGATTCTGAACGCGGCGCCGCAATTCCTGTACTGTAGTTCGTGAGCCCAATAGCCTATGAACCGGCGTTGTCTTGCGCTGACCCGCAAAGACTGCGCTGCATTCAAAGGTAAAGCACATTGCTAGATATCGGTAGTTCAAACTGGCCATCTCTATTCAAATTAGGGTATATGGTGTACGGCAACAGCGGTAACGCTCAGACTCTGTGGTATGATCAAACACGCTTCCAAATCCGCCAATCAGGTCGTCTCCACCTATGCAGCAGGCTTGGCTTGCTCTTCGGCTGCGGCGTTTTCAACCTTGGGCTCATCGACCTTGGGAGTCTCCTCCGTCTTGGCCTCCTCCGCGACCTCTTCCTTCTTCACCGCTGCAACTGGGGCCTCCTCCGACTTGGGCTCAACAGCCTCCTTTGTTTTGTCCTCCACGGACGACTGGAGCTTGAGCTCCTCGCCAATCTCCTGGACAGTTCCCGCCTGTCCACCGTAGGCCTTGGGCAAGCTCGTGCGGATGCCCTCCGGGAGCTCCGCGGCCAGCGACGTGCCGCTGGCCATGGGATGGAACTTTTTGAGGGTCGCCGGGGCGACGAAGAGCTTCATGGCGGCGTACATCCAGCCCATGATGACGGGGACGTTAACAAAGTACTTGTGTGCCAGCAGCTCTGGGTAGGCGGTGCTGAGGACGTTGATGGTCTCCTTGGAGGCGACCTTGGCGCTCGGGTCCATGCGGAAGAAGGAGACGGAAACGTAGTCGTGGACCTGGATCACCTTGTACGGGTCCTCCTCACCGTCAGCCAGCGGGACAGTCGCGGAGTTTAGGTTGAGTTTCTGGACACCACGCTCCATGAGGGCTGAGCGCCACTTGATGAACCTGCTCCATGTCAGCACTGTGGGATATTGACTTCCTTCAGGGGAATCACGCACGCGTCAACATCGCCAAAGGTCTTCTTATTATCCTTGACGGAGCCGTAAATGTTCCAGGTGATCACAGTCTCATTGTCACCGTCCTCATGGGTGGTCACATAGCCCAGGCCCTTGAACTTGTCTTGATCGAACGAGCTCTCGACAAGCTCGACGGGGTTGTACTTCTTGCGCCACTCCAAGGCCGCGGTCAGCTGCTTCATGGCCCCGGCAACGTCGTCGTCATTGGCACGGAGGTACTTTTGCAGAATGATCTTGGTTGGCACATGTGTTTCAGGGTCATCGGACAGCTTGACGCCCCACATCTCATCGTGGCCAGTGTTCTTCTTGATCTCGGGAAGCTGGGAAGCTAGCTTGGCGAGGGTCGTCTGGGGAGTAGACTTTTCCTCAGCAGCACTGTCGGCAGCCTTGGTGTCTTCCGCTGGCTTTTCAGTTTTGTGGTCGGAAACCTCCTTGTCCGCCGGCTTGGGCTCAACAGGAGCCTCACCAGCAGCGACTGCTGGCTTGTCGGAGATGGCTTCGGCGCCAGCTGCGGTTTCAGTGACCACGGGGGCGACGGGCTGGGACTCGGTCTTTTGCTCCGCCGACATGTTGATGAATGCAAAGTTTCCAGGTGGAAAGGATAATGGATGACCACTGCAGAGGCTATTGGGGCAGAAGGTAGATCTCTCACAATTACGCTGTACTGCAAATTTGGTTAGTGCATGCAGATAGGAGCCAACGTGGGTCGCCTACGTGATTCAAGCAGATCTTGGTCAGTTAATTAGTTGACAGTGATAGTGTGAAGAAGGATGTGAGAATGAGGATGACTGGAGATGAAGGCCTGATAAGAAGGGGAGAAAGCAGTGCTCAGGGTGTTCCATGCCTGAGGTTGTCGCGGCACGAAACCCCTGCACGGCTTTTCTCTAACTCCAGTCTCTGCGCCAAAGGCGACCAACTGCGATCTGATAAGACACACACGTGCAGGCAACACGAGCCACTGAAGCATGCAATGCCAGAGCTCGATCATTGATGATTCAATGGAAAAACTGAGAAACAGTAAACTATCATCACTTTTTCACTTGGAATTCACGCCCACGAATGGCCAAAGTCGCTTGGGCCACGACCACCCACCCGCTAACAAGCCTGAACCAAGGGGGGCTCGCGTGGGTCATCATCACCAAGTTTATGGCCTTAATTTCAGGAGCTGCCTTTATCTCGCTTTCATCACGACACGGAGTCCACGACACAACACGACAATGCAGCGCGAGTCACACATACGTAGCAGCGACTGTATTCAGCAATATATTGTAAAGGCGAACATAGTGTGCTTCCCAAGGCCTGCCGGCGCAGAATACCGACCTTTGTCCGTCAAGCCAAATCCCAGAAGACAACCCATCTCGCAAGACTAAAGGCGCGCCCTTTTTCCCCTCCTTATAGGAAATCCATCATTGCGGTCGCCATCGTCGAGCGATTTGTTCTGCAAAGCGAGTGAGTACCAGCAGAAGAGAGTTGCGCCAGCCCATTTTCTCTCCCAAGACAGAAAAAAAAGAACCACTCCTCTTCCAGCTCAGAAGACACCACCAAAAGTATCACCGCACCAAGAACTCACCCCTTTTCAAGATCAAAATTATCTCTTCAGAACCCAAAACAGCAGGAACATGCCAATTGTCAGTGAACAACAGTAGTCTAGTAGGTCTTGGCGGCCGGCAGAGCGCGGTACAGAATGCGCTCGATAGCCGACAGCTCGGCGTAGGCAGCTTGGCCAAGGGTCATCTGGTCGAAACCAGGTCCCATGAAACGTTCATAGCCAAGCTCGTTCCAGAAGTAACCCCATGTCATGTCTGTGTCGGCAGCCTTTTCCTGCAAATTGTTGCGGTCTTGAATGGACAAGGTCATCATGTCCTTGTGGGACTGGTCGCGGATGATGGAAATGTACCACTGGAAACGTCAGTCACTACCCGCGTCGGGAAATCAACCACCTACATTGATAACATCCGGCTGCGCATCGACTTTGGTCGCGAGGGCGTACTGATGGCGCCATGTAGCTGGCGATGGAGGGAGGTTGTACTGGGGCAGCTCGGACTCTGTGACATTGGCCAGCCACGCAATGTCGTCCTTCATCAATGGTGTAAAGCCAGGGCAAGACATGGCCGCCTTGGTCAGACGATGGTACAGCTGCACCGTCAAGTTGACAACGTCGTCACCCTTCTGCAGTGATCGAGTCAGCAAGCGCAGCAATTCGCAAGTGGCGCGGAAGAGCGCGCGACGTTGCGAGATCGTGACGCGGTCCATAAATGACCACGGGAACTTTTTGAGCGTGCTCATCAAGCACTCATAAGGACGCTGCGGGCACTCCTTCGAGAATGGCGACTGTGTATCATTGTGTCAGTAAATTGAACGAACAGCAGCCACCAGGTCAAACTCACACGATGCGGAACCTCGACGTGCTTCACGAGCATAATCATCTCCTCCTCGGTGATGAAGCCCTTGAAGTTCTCCCATGGCTCATGCGCATTGTAGGGCTTGAACTCGGGAGTGGCACCGTCCCAGATGACACCCGTTGCCAAGGGGAAGAGATCTCTCATGAGGCTGCCTTGGCTCGACAGCTCTACCTCGACCGCACGGTCCCCGAGACGTGACGGGCGCGAGTTCGTGACGTTGGTGACGTGACGCTCGACAGCACGCATCGCATCCTCGAGGGTGCAGAACTCGACATAGGCGTCCATCGTCTTGCTTGTGACCCGCTCCATGATGATGTGCACAGGCTCATCAGCGTCGTTGAGGATTTTTGAGTTGCGGCCGAGGAAGGCGATGACTTCAGCGCGCTTGGTCGAGAAAGGGATCTGCTTCGGGTTAGTCGTGTTCAATATGTTGAGTTCCATGCTCATACGTTGCGAATCTTGACAACACCGTGGTTGATGGCCTTGCCGGTGCGACAGCTCTCGGTGAATGGAAAGTTGTCAGGGTGCATAGCGACATCAAAAGATGGCCTACCGCCAGGACGGGTGAGAAGCTCGTTCAACTTGTCTGAGCGCTTCACGGCAAGGGTCAGAGCTACTTGTAGCGGGTTGGTGACCGCGGACGCAGTCGCTGAAAAGGGGTCCTGGCTGTTTGCATTGCTGTCGCAAGAGCCAAGCTCTTTGTCGACGCTGTCTTTGCCATAGGGCACGACACTCAGGTTAAACTGAGGTGGAGGCTCCTGTGTGGTTAGATGGCCGTTGGTGCGAGGAGCATAGTTCTTTGGTTCGGTCATGGGGCTGATCAACGACATAGAGCCCTCAGGGCTCTGCACCAGACCGTGATCTATTCCTTGGCGCTTGGGCGACTTCTCTGAACTGCCTAGTATCGTGAACCCAGTATAGGATTGTGACTGGGGAATCCGGCCGTTTGTGCCATGCCCGTTGGTAGCATTTGGGTGAGCGTACAGCGTCTGTTCGTTCTGCGTCGTCTGCGCGCTTGGAAGGAAGCCATCTTTGACTTCATTGTGACCATTGGCTGAAGCGTTCATGCCAATGGAGGACACGCTCGAGCTATGCTGGTGTGTCTTGGTACCAGCGACAGTGGATTGAGCTCTGACGTCGTTAGCTTGCCCACCTGCCTAAGGCTGGGCTGGAGCGACATTCGGCGCCTTGGCCGCGGGGTGACCATTTGCACTCGTTCCGTTAGTGATTTGTAGAAGCCCATTAGCTGTGTGCATGAGATGAACTCCATTGTTGAGGAGATGGTTTGTAGCATCATGGCCCTGGAAGTCGAGTGACTGTTTGTTTCAGCATGTTAGTTCCATGCAGTTCCGTGCTATCGGGCCTGCCTTACCGGAGCAGAACTGGTATCTGACCGCTGCGGAGTCGAGGAATTGCCAAGGCCTGGGTTAAAGATAAGTTTAGTGTTGGTGCTGTGGCATTCAGGCTGAGCCGTAAACTCACCAATGTAGACCGAAGATGGGTAGTACACGTCGTTACCCCAACCACTCACGCTGTTTCCACTGTGCTGATCATAGAGCGCTTTGTGAAGCATTTGGGCCTCCTCGGCCGTAGGCTCCCTGTGGGAGGCCATCGCGGTCCTTGAGTTGTTAGCCAGCAGGTATCGAAAACAGATGATAGGACTCTTAACTCACATTGTTATGTTCAGAGCAAAGATTGAAGAAATGAGTACGCGCTGGTGTACCAGATAGTGCCAAAGTGCTGCAAAAGAATCTCAGGCAGAATCTAAGGCAAAGTGTGGAAAGTTGCGTATGAAGAGAGAAGAGAGAAGAGAGAAGAGTCGTGCAGAGAGAGGGATTCTCGGGGGTATGAAGAGCGAAGAGCGCGAGGAAAATGAGATGAAAGAGAAGTGCGTGGGATCAAAACATTGCAACGATGAGCTACTCCTCAGCCTGCGGGCGGCTCAGAAAGATCAGATCATCGAGTGAGGCGCCCAGCACAGTGTGGAGCACCACCTGGCCTCGATGACAGAGTCCAGTCCGTCGGCTAGCCGCAACGCATCGAGGAGACGAGATACCATTCTTATGTTGTAGGGCTGTTGATGGGGATCCGAAGACGACATGCGGAACGCGGTCAACCCCCCAGAGCAGCGTGTGACAACGGCGAGTAGGTGAGATCACAAGCCCTCTTCTATTCCCGTCCAGGTGAAATAGATGTTCCGTTCCTATCAGGCCGTCATCTCGGCGAGTTCAGTCGTTTTTAGGACTGCATCCGAGAGGACTCTGGTCAGAAAATCGCCTGATCAAAAGTCGTTTCCGTAACAAACCCCGTCGTTGATGCCATCTTCATTCTACGCGAATCGGTTGCGTCATCTTCGCCAAGAGTCGACCCAAGATAATGCTTGATACCTGGTAAACATTCAAGTTGCTCTAAGTCTCATATGTAGTGGATATTGACAATGTCAAAGGATCATTGTTCCACTTTTGCGCCAAGTCATCGCCCATCGCTTGCTCAACCCACCTATATACGGCCGGCTTTTAATCAAACTGGTGCGTGTTAGCGCATAACAGGCCATGTCGTGACAGCTCGACCTACAGGTGTCAAGAAGGATTCCGCGACGAATCGAGCTCGCGCGTTTAGCTGTGGTCGATTAGCTTTTGCCCTTGCCAGCAAAGGGACGGTGCCGCCTACAAAGAGCTTCATCTCCGATATTTCCTTGTCAACCTCCTCCATGAATTGAATGATAAAGTCCACGAGCTTGTGCTTCAGCATCTCCTCGGTATGGAAGTTCGTTATCAAGAAAGAGATATCGTAGCCCTATAAATTAATCAGCCAAAGATTCCCAGTCTTCGACATCCGAAGTGCGAACCTTAATTGGCTTCCTCCGTAGGATGAAGAATGATTCGGCGCGCTGTGTCAAGAAGCGCGTAAATTTGTGCACCAGGATATGCTCAATCTCGTCGGCCTGCTTGATCTTGATGCTGATGCGCACCGAGTTGATGCTGGGCTCGATGAGCACGCGCTCATTTTCGTTGCGTGAAATGGTCAGGGGCGTAAGGACGACCTCGGGCGAGGTCTGGGCTTCGATTTCGGGGACATTGTGTCGCTCGGCCGTCTGGGATGCGAAGTTGGACAGGGTGAGGGCAGCTGTGAGACTGCTCCGGACAGCCTGGAGATACGGCCGCAGGGATTGAGACTGAGCATCATTAGTTACCAATGCGCTCGGGGACATTGACCAATTTTATAACGCACCATGACGGCGGCAAGCCCTTCCTGGGCTTTTGTCGTGTGTCTCGTGGGTGGTCTCTCAACGTCGCAAGGCGTGGCGGGGTTGAAGTGTCGTTGGACGTCGTCGTCGTCGGAGCTACAGCACAGCCTAGACGTGACGTCTCGGTGGGGCACAGGCAGCTGGGGATCCGGGCGATGTCACGTGAATTGGCGTCAAATCGACGTCAACACTGCGTTCATGGATTCATAAAGGTCTGCTCCTCAGTTCTCTGCATTCTTCATAAATGCGCCGGAAAAGTATTCTATCACGCGAAAAGAACGTGTTTCTTCAAGTGACTGCCCATAGCCTGAAGATTGTGGCTGAAGCTCACAGAAGGCGGCGGAATGTGGCTAAATGCATAACCCCACAGTTCGCGACTCCAGGTACCACCTCGTGACGCACCACTAACCATCACCAAACTTCCGCCACAAGCAGCACTTTTTGCCAATCGGGCTTGCTTCTACTACTTTAACCAGCTGATACACTCCTTGAAGCAAGAATCTGATCAAAAGTTTGGGGGTTTGTAGACCTTATAGAGTCACTATGGCTTCAATACCTGGTTTGTCACCCCTCGTTCCCCACGTCTCAGCAACAACAGCTAACAACCTTCTGTAGTCGTCGTGAAGCACCAAGGCAAAAAGTACACTGTCGACATCGATCCCTCCGCCACCGGCGAAGATTTCAAGCTTCAGCTCTTCTCGCTTACCGAAGTCGAACCCGACCGCCAAAAGATCCTCATCAAGGGCGGGCAACTCAAAGATGACGCCGATATGAGCAAGCTTGGGCTGAAGCCCAATCAGACAATCATGATGATGGGCACTCCGGGCTCCAACGGCTCCGGCTTGGTGCGACCAAAGGAGACCGTCAAATTCGTCGAGGATATGACGGAAGCCGAGCAGGCGCAGCAAGCAGGTGCCACGCCTGCAGGGTTGATGAACTTGGGCAACACGTGCTACCTGAACTCGACTCTTCAGACGCTCAAATCGATCCCGGAGCTGCAGGACGCGCTGTCAACGTACAACACTAAGAATGGAACCTTGATGGGCGGTGCGCAGCTAGATCTGGCCTCGCAGTTGGCGAGCCTGTACAAACAGATGGGCGACACACAGGAGTCATTCCCACCCATGGGGTTTCTGGGCGCACTGCGAAGTGTGTTCCCACAGTTTGCAGAGCGTTCAAGGCAAGGAGAAGGATATGCTCAGCAGGACGCGGAGGAAGCCTGGTCACAAATCGTCCAGCAGCTGGGACAGAAGGTCAAGGTCAAGGAAACAGACGACGCCCCCGAGATCTCCTTTGTCGACAAGTTCATGTCCGGCGAGTTTACGTCTGAGCTAGTCGCAGATGAGGAGGAAGCCAGGAACAATGAGCAGCCCGTCGTCAGTCGGGACCAGTTTGCCAAACTCAACTGCCATATCGACGGCAAGACGAACCACCTCCGCGATGGTATCCTGGCAGCTCTCAGCGAGAAGCTGGAGAAGAATTCCGAGACGCTCGGTCGTGACGCCGTTTATACCAAGACATCGAAGATTTCGCGTGCGCCCAAGTATCTGACGGTGCACTTTGTCAGGTTCTTCTGGAAGCGCGATTCGCAGAAGAAGGCCAAGATCATGCGAAAGGTCACATTTCCCCAAGAGTTGGATATTGTGGAATTCTGCTCGGATGACCTGAAGAAGGCACTGATCCCCGTCCGCGACAAGGTCCGCGAGATCCGCAAGGATGAGGAGGACCAAGAGCGCGCTAGGAAACGTCGCAAGAAGTCGCACGAGCAAGACGTAGGCGATATTGCCGGTGGCGCAGGTCTGCCGACCGAGAAGGAGAGGAAAGAGAAGGAAAAGAAGGAGCAAGAAAAGGCCGAGCGTGAGGGCAAGTCGAAAGAGAAGAAGTCTGGCGATGGAGACGTTGTCATGGGCGAAGGCGAGACGTTCAAGACCGATGCGGAGGTGGAAGCTGAGCAGGCCGCTGCCATCTTGGAGGCCAAGAAGGAGCTCAACTCTCTCATTGACCCAGCGCTTCGTAAGGACGATGGCGCCAACCAGTCGGGACTGTATGAGCTCCGCGGCGTCGTCACCCACCAGGGTGGTAGCGCCGACAGCGGTCACTACACAGCCTACGTCAAGAAGGCTGCGCCTGTGGATCCCAAGACTGGCAAGAGGGGCGAGGAGGATGGCTTGTGGTGGTGGTTCAACGACGAGAAGGTCACTGAGGTCACAAGCGATAAGATCGATGCGCTGGCCGGCGGTGGTGAGTCACATTCTGCGCTGATCCTGCTGTACAAGGCAATTCCGTTGCCCACAGCCGAGGGCGTTATCGAGTAAAGATAGCAACACTGGCGGAGTATACATAGATCACGAAATGTGAATGGGGAATGAACACAGTATGAAAAATGTTTGTACAGGCTTTGTAGCCGAAGGGGTATCTAAAATGCAGAACGCTATCCCGTCTATCATGCTCCATGATTCCAAATGTTCCACGCCTCGAATGCTGGTAATTATGTGGTGTCCGTACTCCCCACAAGCGAGTTCCTCGTCATTCTGTTTTCCTTTGCGCCCTAATAGCCCTTCGTCTCGCCTTTTCCGCCTCGCGCTCTTTCACCTTCTCCTCGAAAAGATCGATTTTCCGTTGTATTTGGCCCCTGGTGTCCAGCAGCGCTCTCTTCTGCTCCTCCAGGACGGCAATTTGTTCGTGCGGCGAGGTCTCGCGGAATTCTCGAATGGCGTCGGCCTTTTGCTTGTCGGCCTTGAGTTGCGCGCCGGTCAGGGACCCGACAGTGATGACGGCACCAACGGCAATGGCGGAGATGCCGGCTTTGGCTTTGGTAAAGGAAGACATGTTCCGTCCAGAGTAGGTTTACCAGGATTCAAGCCAGATTTTGCGGGAGCGTTTTGCCCGATCGTCACTTGCAGCGGGCAGTATTGAGGTCTGCGAGCTGACCGTTGATCTCTGCGATTCCTGCGAGTGCCGGTCTAACGGTGATTCGGCTTGGGGGGTTGCTGTCGATGTAGGGTTGAGCCTGTGTAGCTCAATGTCGTCGCCCAGCAAGATTATGCTCGATCGTGAAGGTGTTGACCAAGGACTTGGCAAAGTGGGGCTGTGGTCGTAGCCGGGGTTCTCGGGGTGCAGGGACGGTAATGAGCGATGCAGGAAGAGACAAGACATCTCATTGCCAGGTATCCGTATCCAGGGTAGAAGATACTCTGTACGCAGGGAAACACGTTGCCTCTGATGTCATTAAATTTATGTTGAGTTGCAAAGTGGTGAGAAGTGAGGTTGGAGATCAGCTCCACGAGTTAGCTCATCCTTTTGTCTTAGGATTTGCGCCTTAAGTGACAAAGTTGCCAGGCGTCTCGTGACTTCCATAGTGCCTTGTCTGCCGGGAAATGCGGTGCAGGGTAGTCAGGATCCGAACAGTCGGATGCCACGAGGTGCCATGAGTCGACCGGGCGCCGCGTTTTCACCTTGCTAGAATAGTTGAGTCAGTGTGCAAAACTGATGCAAATGTGGATAATTTGAATAAGTAGTCAGACACGGGATCGAGGAACCCGTATTCAAGGTGTTGTTGCGAAAATGACATAATTGAACCCCTCCTAGGCTCCATAAGTCTCATCCACAGTCTCTCTCGCCTTGCTCATCTGGTAGCAAAGATATTGTCTCTCTTTTCATCTCGATATTACATGTTGCGCGTTCTTTAAGAACAGAACATTCACACAATGGGCAAAACACCACGAGTCTTTCTGATACGCCATGGCGAGACGGAGTGGTCCCTCAATGGCCGTCACACGGGGACCAGCGATATTCCCCTCACAGCCAACGGAGAGGCTCGCATCAGAGCAACTGGACAAGCGTTGGTAGGCCACGATCGATTGATTGTGCCCAAACAGCTGGCTCATATGTAAGCAAACCACCAACTCGATGTGTCCAAATGCGCGGATGGAGTGGTAGTGAAAGCCATGAAAGCTGGAGAACTGTTGCCAGAGCCAACGACGAGCAGATGCAAGCGGGCTTTGTCTGAAGAAAAGCAAGTGCACAGTATTTCACGTCTTCCAAGGGCCAAAGTTGAATTATTGTGAGCCTGGCATGGGCCTCGTTGCACTCCACTCATGTACATGTCGACCTGGACCTGTGCCTCCAACCCTCGCAGCTTGCCTCGCGTTCGGTGAGGACCAGCCCCTCGAGACACCAGACACATGCAGAAAATTCCCTGGCAAGCTCATTGCTGACTATTTGCTAGCTACGTTTCCCCTCGCAAGCGTGCTCAACGCACCTTTGAGCTCCTGAATCTTGGTATCCCCGCTGAGCAACTCCCTTGGACACTGCATGGCGAGCAACCCAGCAAGCGCGAAGAACTGTCCAACTGTGGTGCGCGTGTCGAAATCACAGAGGACATTCGCGAATGGGACTATGGAGACTACGAAGGCGTGACTAGCCCTGATATCAGGAAACTTCGAGCTGAGCAGGGGCTGGACGAGGGCAAGGGAAGGACATGGGACATCTGGAGAGATGGATGCCCTGGTGGCGAGTAAGTTTCGAGTTGGCCCTCTGGAGATCTCTCCGTCTCGTCTTGAGCATGCATGCTTGAGACTCATCAGTGCTGTGGTAATGATTTGAGCGGAAAGACTGACAACCCAGGATGCCCGACGACGTCACAGCCCGTCTTGATCGCCTCATCGAAGATCTCCGCACCAAGTACCATGGCCCCTGTATGGACGGTGATGCTCCTAAAGGCGACGTCCTCATCGTAGCACACGGCCATATTCTCCGTGCCTTTGCCATGCGCTGGGCCAACAAGACACTACAGGATGGCCCGGCGTTCTTACTTGAGGCTGGTGGCGTTGGTACCTTGAGGTGAGTCCATGTGCCCACTCGGCGGTGAATCAAGTCAACTGACGTCCCTCAGTTACGAGCACAGCAACATTGACGAACCCGCTATCCTCTTGGGCGGTGCTTTCGTTGTTGACATTGCGGAAAAGGGACTGCAATAATCGCAATCAGGGGTTGGCGGGCCTGACGCAGACTACGCTAGCTGGCCGAAATCATGTTTAATAAGTTATGGCATTTCACGTACTATAATAATCGTCGTCCTGATACTGAATGTCAGTCGTGCTTACAACTTAGCCCCCCTCGCCAAAAATACACTCCTCTCCATCCTTCGATCACCCTTCTCCCCTGCCCAGAAAACAATCGGCTCCTTGAGCTTCTTGAAGGCAAACTCCCCCCCGCAGCCTGCGTCCTCAAACATCTTCCGCACGTTGTCCTCTGTGAACCCGTGGTGCGTCACCCCATACGCCCCAGTTGCCTCCGGCGCATGGGGTAGAAAGTCGAGGATGAACAGGACACCACCGGCCTTCAAGCGCTCAGAGAGACGTTTCGCAGATAGAGTGGTGTCATCAAAGTGGTGGAAGCCAGCGCCAACGCCTGCAAGATCAAAGTTGTAGAATTTGGGGTCGGAGAAAGCTTCGGGAGACGGGTCACCAGGGAGCGTGATGTTTCCCAGATAGGCCTCCTTCTTGTCCGGGAAGGTTCCCTTTCAGAGATTCAGCCATTGTGTCTCTTCGAATGCATACGTAGTGCTTACCTCGCTTTTGGCCTTGGCGTTGTACGCCTCGACCATGCTCTCCGCTAGGTCGATGCCGATGGACTGGCTAGCCCGGGATGCGAATGCCTAGACATCTGTTAATATTCTAGGTTCTCTTGAGCACGGCGACTTACCCTTGACAGCAAACCCGTGCCGCAAGCATAGTCAAGCACGCGCCCGCCCTGCTTCAAGCCTATGAACTCTTCGGCAGAGGCCTTGATTTCATCCTCGAGTTGGCCAACGCCCTTCTCGTGTCTCTTGTCGTAATCGGCAGCAATTTTACTAGTGCAAATATTAGTCTATCGGCTCCCGACCTCATCGGCGCCGATGGAGGAGCTAACTTGAAGTGCTCCCGATTGGCGTTGAGAGAGTCAGACATGATGTGCTTGACTGTTCTCAGCAGGCTTTCTCGGAGCTTGGGACCAGGCTTAAGATTGGATAGAGGTGTAATGAACTGCGATAATGTCGAAGACAAGCCTGGGGTTATTCGTCTCTGATCACGTTGTGGTCGAGTGCAATTGAAGCAATTACTTTGGAACGTGCAGCTTACTGTTTTTACTAACTTGGAGCGGAGACTTTTCGGATAGTTGACGTCGACATTCGACCATCTGGGGATCTCCCGCGCAATGCCCTCGGATACTTTGAAGATTGTCTTTCTTATGTTTGTCCTTGCTATGCTAACCATACGTCTACTATCCGGAAGGCTCGGGGTTTTACAATCAATACCCAGGTGTACATGCAGTGTCCAGAGTCCGCATCATTACGACAGCATCAAGAGCATTGGAAGCAAAGCTTTGGCCAGGCCTGTTTTGTCGACACCTAACGGGGGAACCGCGATATGGGAATGCAACGCTTTTTACGAGTGGTATGTTGTGAAGGACGCCGAGCAATACATCAAGACGCGATCACCACAAGCAACTTGCCGCAAGTCACTGGCTAACGTGCGACTGGCCACGAGCAGCGCCCCGGGATCCCGCTACTTCCGATAACCACCCCAATAGCAGGCGGCAGAGCCTTTGCAGCATGTCCATTTCCGAATCGGGCAGCCGTTTGACGCTCACTCATCGTGCGCAACGCCCAATAACCTACGTATTCTAGGGCCAGCCAGCGATATGCACAAGGAGTTTCACACCCCAACGGCACCCTCAGGCCCGCGCATGGGCCATGGCCCATATCAAGGCCCAGCGTTGACTAGTTTAGTAGTCCCCAGGCCGCCCAACTTCCACCTGCACGAGCGCCTCGGACCGAACATAGTCTGGCCTCTGGGCCTGCGGCCACCCTGGCTTACTTTTAACTCGCCAGTACGTGGGCGCACCATGGTACTAAAGAACACAATCACGCAGGGCTTTTGAGATCCTCCACCACGCCCGGTTCATTCTCCGCGTCTTGCAACAACTCAAGGATTGATACTTGGCTCATGAGGCTACAACGAATCACCCCCTCAATCCTGCTGCTCCGAAACCCTAGTTATGGGCGGGCTGTTGGGACAGACCAAGGATTGGGAGTCATGTCGCGGGGTAGGTAGACACTCCACGGCTGGACGGCCGTTATGCCCAATGCATGCAGTTTGCCTCGACCGTTTTCGGTCCCCTACATGATGCATGTCGGTCGAAGGGCTGGTAGATGCTGCTACCGTGCAAGATACAAGCTGTAAGGCGACCGGGTTGGGTGGCCGCCTGCGGTGAGCGAGGCTTGTCGCACACCGCCGGTTCGTTGGTAGGCTGATGCAGGACGCCATCGAGCGCGGGCCCGGTCAATGACAATCATGGCATGCCCCAGATGCAATAAGAGTGACGGATAAAGATTCGGGGACCATAGTATTAGACTGTTAGCGCCACGGGAAGCGAGTGATACACGCACTTACGTATACAATATCGTAAATCGCAAAGACGACCTACCTGTCCACCGACCTACGTTACCACCACCACCACCACCACCACCACCACCACTGGCTGGATGGGGCCAGCTGCACGATGTAGTGTCGGCCCGTCACTGTGCATCCGCCATTGACAAAATGCTCCGTTCTTGATCATTGGTGCCCGGCGGCGGCTGTTCAGCTGACGGTGGAAAGCTTGTAAACATGAACGAAAGCGTTGGTCGACGAGTAATTATACTAATACCAACAATAGCTCCACGAGCTATGTAGATCAATGCAGGCGTGTCTGAGAAGACTGTTGGTCACAGGATCGCTCAGTCATGTCGCCCGTGCAGCTCGTTTGCGTGCTTTCTCCAGCGCACCACTCAAGCTGCATAGCGCACAGCGTAGTAATAATATTACATGGAATAGATGATAAGCCAGCCTGACGAGTGACGAGTGCATCGTGTGGGCCGCCCTGAGGGCACAACCCGCTCCAAACATTATCATGAAGCGGGCTGCTGAGGTCGGGCGGCAGCAGTCAGCGCTTGTAATGAACGAGGAACCACTGGGGAACACAGCGAGGAGATCCCAGCTTTATTACAGTCGTCTCTACAGTGGCCGATGCACTGGCGACAGACCAAGAGCTGAGAGAAGAGTCGGAAGAGTTGGCCGCGCAGCTCCCAACTCATGCATCTGTGGCGCTGTGTGAAGGACAGCTCGGATACGACCCATCATTTGTCGCCCTGCCTCACACTCACAGTCGCGGACTAATTAGCTCCCAACCCAGTCGACGATTCGCGACTTCGCACTGTCGCTGCGTGTGTCCCTAAGTCGCTCCAGCTGGAGAGTCCAGCTTGCAGGGGGTGCGTATGCAGCAGAGGATCCAAAGGAGTGAGCCGAGTCATTCCATTCAGACCGGATACTCAACCCTCCCGGAATTCCGCGCGGCTGAACGGTGGCTGCTGCTGTCTTTCGCATTTGTCACCGTCGCACATTGCACTGTTGACATGCGTGAGGGTGCGTAGACGCTCATCATGAATGGAATGTCAGCAAAGAACCCCGACATGGATGCAAGGATAACGACTCCTCACACTCCACCCTGGATGTCACAGCGATTCCCAAGTCGCTACCGCGACTCGACCGTGAAGTTGAATGAATGAACCCCTGTCATCTTGGGCGGTGTGCGCCAGGTCAGATTGCAGACACAGGGCGAGCCATGGATAGGGAAGCATCAACGATCATTGGTCCGGAACAGGGTAGAGCGTGAAGCGGGCGATGGGGCGGGAAGACGATGCATCTCGCGCATGAGGTGAATATCATGTGACTTTTAACGCACGCGTGCGATTGGCGGACCGAGCCTCTTCCCGGCGGCATCCAATTACCAAAAAGACAGGCTGGCGCCTTGGCAGTCTGGCTGCGGATTCGATGCAAGGGCGCAGGAAATGAAAACGGTATCCATGTCGCGCCCGTCGTGGGGTCCCTTGCTTCGACCTCGAAGCTGAAGACAATCAAGCCAGCCCCTAATTAGATCCGATTTCTCGGTCCATCTCCATTGTACGGTGCGTATCAAGAGGCACGCAAGGTGTTGTTGTCCTGTTGTCCACCAGGGGGCGTCGCCCGACCACGCTCTACACACATCAGCTCAAGTACGACTATCATTCGACCCATGACTGGGTCTGACATTTCACATCATTGCTACAGATCAATCGTATCGGACTACCGGGCTGCTTGCGCACTGATGACTTATTATTGATGCGCCAGTCAGATCCCAGGGTAGGCGTCGTGGTGATCTACGTGCTAGTTTTATTAGTTCGGTCTAGGCTAGCCGCATGCAGTTCGCGGCTCGAGACATGACCACAAGCAATGCCCAAGTTACACGTACAACTGGTATTCAATCATGTTTTCAGGATTCATAGGCAAATGAAAGAAAGGCGCGGGCAAAAGGCGAAGGGCGATGTACTTGTCAATCTAGAAGGGGCTTCGCTCCTGGGCTCCTGCCTTCGCGCACCCGTACCCCGCGCGGTTGGTACCACCTCTCTGTAGCAGCCTGGCTGCCCAAATCCAGAACTATAGGACTACTTTGCTGACTTCGGATCAACGTGTCAGCTTCAGAACTCGGAGTCGAGCTCACCCAAACGAGACTGCACCTCGCACCGCGACAAAGCCAGGTGCAACCCGGCAGACGGTATTCTCCTTCGCAATTAGGAGTGCACTTAGAGAGAAACTTACGTGCTGATGGGCCAACCTCGAACAGCTTCCCAGGGGTGTGTGTATCGCTCGAAGCCGATCTTGCGCAGCCTACGTCCGCACAAACAAGTAGTACTTACTTGCACAAATTTGAGATGAGATGGCGCGGACAATACAGTCAAGACGACATGAACAAGCAGGAGCAGCCAAGCCTCATTCCCATATTCTCCGAGGACAGCCAACAGCGCCCAGCACTAGCACCACCAAGCTGGACGAGCCACTGGCAAGAGAAGAAACAGCACGACGGGCATGAAGAACCTCGATGACAACGCTGATACAACCTTGTGATTGGCCGCGACCAT